TTCAACTGCAAAAAAAAGAGGTTTGATGTTAATAAGCACATCGTCTTTCTTCACATTATTAAATTCATATTTATCACTATCACTCATACTTACCATTTTTATTCCTACTTATTAATCATCGATTGTGATTTTCGAATATTTGGAATTTAGTTTATTAGTATGCTATTTTTTAAGTATCAGTAACTGTTCGACAAAATTTCAATGTGAGTATGAAAAAAACAAATTAAGCAAAGGGATTTATTGCATATTGCGTAGGAAGGAATGCCTATTTATGATTTATAAAAGAATATCAAATTACGATTTGGTAAAGTGAGAAATTATGTTTATCACAAATTTCATTCCAATGGCATCCTTTTGAGCAAAATTAAAAAAATTCTTTCATCTTCTAAATCTCTTCAAATTTTTCAACATTTCTGAATAAAACTATTTTAAACACACCGAATCTATCAATGCGCATTGTTTGAAATTGTGCAATAAACAGCAATGACTGTAACAAACAAACTAAAAGTACAACAGGAATGAAATAATAGTATCGCGAAAAAAATTCATGCCAATTTACTCTGACTAATTCATTTCAGTACAGTAACCTCTCAAATCTTAACTTAGCAAAAAAAAATGTTACAGACTTAGATTGAAAGGTATTCAATGTTCAGTCTTGAGAAATCAAAGAGATAATCTTTCAGAGGACACTATTTATTTTTTTTAAAATTTCTCTGATATCATAACACTTCACAAAAATTAATCAAAACGACTACAAAATGGCACAAAAAGTTTTGATAGTGGTAATATTTGAAAAAGCATATCATCAATTTATAGTTTTTTCGGAAAATCTGAACGAATTTTTTGGTTTACAAAAGTTAATCCACAAATTTTGTTTTTCATACAAAATTTTTTACTGACGGATATGTGTGCATTGATTACTGTTCAGATAAATTTTTCATATAAAATGATTGCCAATCTTTTCAGTTGTCTTATCTATCACTCTGTGAACCTACGAAGCGGTATTAATTTTACATTTCACTATGTTGTTGCTAAAAGGTTAAGACAAACGTGGATGAATCATCACCTCAAAATAACACTCTACTTTGATGAGTCACCGTTTGAAAAATAGCTATTTTGAGAAAAAGAAAAATTTTAACGCACACATAAACATTCATCACAACACTTTCAAAATATGAAATTGCATCTAAAATTAACCATTGCAAGTTGAATTTCAGCAATTATGGTGCACCCAATTACTTTCTATTGAAAGTTTATTTTTGCAATTATTTAAAGCTTTGAATGAATTTGCTCAACAGTAATATGACTGGTATGATAGTGAAAATCGATGATTAAGCTATCAATAATCTCTTCTTGCTTTTTGAACTAAATTAATCATTGATAACCGCTAACCGTTATTACTTCACATTGATAGCGTAATAAATATTGGAAATAAATTATACATCATTGAATAGTTCATAGAAAAAGTAACGAATATGAAAGAACAAACAAATGCATGGAAGAATACAATCGGACTGTATCAATTCTGGTAGATATGATTGATTGGATACGGCTGAGATTATTTATTTACCTCTCTATTTAAATTCTATCCTCTTAGTGTATACAATGTGCTCAAATTACACTTTAATTTTCGCATATACAAATATTTGACGTTAGCAATACACATAGAATTAAAACTGTTATGAAATTTTTAATTTAGTAACTAAAATTTTACAAATAAATTCATAAAATGAATTAAATGAAGAATGCGCGAGCAGAAAGATGTTCTTTCATTTTTAAATATTATTATTTTCATAATTATCATTGTATGATTTTCTCATTATTATATTTACATGCTATTATAATTGCTATCATTAACACATTGGTGTGTTGTCGAATTATGGCGAATATTGAAAGAAAAAAGGAAAAAAAAAATAAGAAGAAATATGCAACGATTAACTGTTTTTTTGCAATTGTAAAATTGAAAGAAAATTTCTGAAAAATTCACCTCATACGATTAATTCACATTAATAAGTTTTAAAGTTTATATTATAACAATAATAAATCTATTTTGGAGTAATTTTTAAAAGCACCTCTCTCACATTGTGCATATTTTAGAGAGCAATAACATAAATACGTCATCAAAAAGTGGTCTTAAAATGGAAAAATTTGTGAGTTTTATATTTCTGCCTGGCAAACGCAAACAATACAGGAAGGAAGGAACTATTTTACTGGAAAGAGGAAAGGGAGAAGGAAAAGGAGGAGAAGGAGGGGAAGGAGGGGGAGGAGGAGGAGGGAGTGAGGGATGAAAAGAGAAAATGATTGAAAATAAAAGTGATTCCTCATCAGTCATAAATGATAGAAGGTTTTAAATGACTAAACTGATGATTTTAAAATAATTTTAATGGCATTATTACAAAACATTGGCGGCATACGCTCATACAATTTGACTTAACTGAGTTCTTATTTATGTTGTTGAATAAAAAAAAGATGATAACAGAAAAAGAAAAAGTGAAAAGAAAAAATAAGACAAAGGAAAGTTGTTGAATTCTTTTTATCTTTAAATTAAATTCTTCAACAGTTTGAATTGCATTACACGATAGAACTGAGGAAAGGAAAGGCAATTCTTCTTCATTCATTCTCTTTCAACTCTATGTTGTAGTAATATTTATTGATAACAACAATGATAAGAGAAGGAATAGCTGTAGCAATTATATATGCCACTGTAAAGTATTCCTCGCTATATGCATTCTTAATTTGCAAAGAAAAAAAGCTGTTGAGATTGGTGAGATTAGAGAAGAAGCAATCGATTATTTCTTGTAAATTTTACAAAGTCTTCTAACAGCTGTTTAAAGCTTGGCAGATGTATCGTAAAAGTATAATCAATTTACATCTGCTGTTATTATATTCCTGTTATTCTATTCATAATGATATGATAAACGAAAGTTTTGAAATAATTTAGGCTAGAATTTTATAGCCTTATAATTTATGAATGTTTGAGTGAGATTGATTTGAAGATTAGGGGTTGATCTTGTATTCTTTCTTGTTCAATCGATACATCAGCTGAGCATTCAAAACTATTAGAATTTGTAAATGGAAAATGAAAATCAATTTAAGTGTTTCGAGTACAGCTGTACAGATTATCAATTTTATTTATGATTCATTTCAATATGACCCGATAAAACAGCTGGATTATACTGATGCATGTAGAGAAAAACTATTCACTTTTTAATATAAACCATTCTTTTGAAATTCGTTTTTTTAATTTCCATTATGGAAGAGGGCTTAAAATACAAAGAATAGTCGAGTCAAAAATGATAATATCATTAACAAAAATTTGTCAATTCCATAAAGAAAAATAAACAGAATTGCATTTATAGTCATCAAAAGATAAGGTTAGGTGATCTTATCTTATTTCTCGATGTATTCGCTTCATTCATACCATGCAAAATGCTCCATTAATAGAGTTTCATAAGTTTTTGGTTCTCTCTACTTATTTAATTGCCAATTTCTCCTCGATTCTTTCCAAAATGACAAACAAAACTATTTTAATTTTAAGATGCATTTTACATTTCTGTGAAATTTCTTTTACGAAACAAATAATTAGGAAGTATCTGAAGAAAATGAAATTTAATGATGCATTGCGCAGCTGTCGCAAATTCAGTGTTAAATATCATACGTGTGATGAAGAATAAGCGTGCTCGTTTCGTCTGTAAACAGAGAGAAAGTTAACAATTTTATTGCATATTGTTTACATGATCCAATACCTGTTAAGGAACATAAAACAGATGCCGCTATTCCTGCTTTTCATATTGATTTTTCGGATGAATTTATTGAGATATCCTCATGTTTATGGTACCCAGGATGATTCATGTAGTTGGAATGTATGTGAAATTTTATTTTTAAAATTTGACATAATTATTTGGAGATTATAGGCGGTGTGACTAACTCCGCAAATTTTAGAGCATTACTATCCTTTGAAAATTGTAAGAGTTTGCCGACAGCTGTTGAAGTATTGCTTAAGTTGGATGAAAATTTAAACTAAACTTTAAAATGAGATAGAATTGCAGAAATGTAATAGTTGGAGTGAACAAAAGGATGTATTGAATGTTCATTTAATCTGTCATACACATGATGATCCAGGATGGATTAAAACTATTGATCAATACTATTATGGATGTAGGTTATTGATTAATTGGACCAAATTCAAAATTGTTTTCAAATACTTGAAAAACTGATTTCCAATTAAGCGGAAATAAAATTGAGAAGGTGAAAAATCATTTTATAGCTCAAAAAGAAAAGACAGCAACCGGTGTGCAATATATTCTCAATACTGTAATGGACGAGTTGGAAAAGGATGAAAGCAAACGTTTTGCGTGGTGTGAAACGTCATTTCTATGGCGTTGGCTCGTTGATTATAAACAAAGGAATCGATTGCAAAAACTTGTCCAACAAGGTATGATAAATGTATCCAACAAGGTAAATGTGTTTAGCAACTTATTCATTAATCCAATAGGGTCGTCATGAAAGTGAAAGTGAAGGAGATCAGATGAAGTTTCTTACAATAAATTATGAAATTTTAGGGCAAATCGAATTTATTGGTGGTGGTTGGGTTCAAAACGATGAAGCCGCAGCTTATTATGTTGATATTATTGATCAAATGACACTTGGTTTGAGAACTTTAAATAAATATTTTGGTGATTGTGGTGTGCCATATGTTGCATGGCAAATTGATCCGTTTGGTCATAGTCGAGAAATGGCTAATTTATTGGCTTTGGCTAGTTTCTTTTATTATTGAAATTAATTTTTACATGTTTTCTTACTGAAACTTGAACTTGTCAAATCATGCTTAAAATGGCACTGCAAGACAATTGATCTGCTTTAACTGTAAGATTCTCGCTACGGAATTCTTAATAATATAAAATATTTTTTTGAACATAACGAAATCGTTTAATTTTCATAAATATTCAAAACAACAACTGAAATAACAACTATAACAGCACTAGAAAAAGAAAGAAAAAGATTTAGGCTCTGAAAAAAATAAGAGAAAATAGTAAAGAATAAAAATGAAAATAAAAGAAGAAAGAGAAAATGATTAATTTGTTAATAAACTTAAAATTAAAAAAAAGGATCAATTTTTATTGATTTCTTGCAGATGGATTTCGAAGCTCTTTTCTTTTCTCGTCTTCATTTCTTAGAAAAAGAAATTCGTATACAAAATTCAAGCTTGGAATTTGTTTGGGATAGTTCCGATGATCTCAGTAAGAATTATATTATAGTATCTGTAAAACGTAATGAAAATGATCTCTTAATTAATTTGTAAATAATTTCAAGAATATTTTAGAAACGAACATCTTAACGGGTGCATTTTATTGGGACAGCTATGGTCCGCCACCGGGATTTTGTTTTGATCGTGAATGTCTGGATGAACCCATTATGGATCAGGATTATTTGGAAGAATACAATGCTATCCAACGTGTGAACAAATTTGTCGAATATATTAACAGACAGGTTTTTTATTATTGAATATACTTCGAATTAAAAAAATTATTTAAAAAAATTAAAAAAAATTGAAATCATGTTAATTTCTTTTCGTATGCTAAATATGATGATGAAATGAGAATAGAAAAATTTGTAATAATGACAGCATAGTTGACAATAATTTGTGAGAAAATAATGAATTTTAATCATTTCACTATTAGTTAAATAATGATAGCATTAGATATGTTAATAAATTGCATGAAAAAAACGTTTCGTGAACATTTCTCTGAAATAATTAAGATTAAAATTAAAATTTTTAAGGTTTCACATCAACGAACCAATCATCTAATGCTTCTAATGGGAGGCGATTTTCAATATACAGCAGCAAATCAATGGTATATCAATCTCGATAAACTTATTTCACTTATTCGAAAAAACAAAGTATATTTTATAAAATTATAAATGTTTCTTCGAGCCGAAAAATTCATGTGTTAAATTATGAAAAATTTTGTTATCAATAATGATTTCTTTTTAGACGTTAAGTGAGAAAATTAATATCTTTTACTCAACACCTTCCTGCTATCTGATGGCACTAAAAGAAGCGCGTCCAAAATTGCCACGGAAATTGGATGATTTTTTTCCCTATGCATCCGCTAATCATAGCTATTGGACTGGTTTCTTCACTAGTAGACCCACATTTAAAGGCTTCATTCGACAAAGTAGTGCGTTGTTACAGGTATGAATTTGTTTACTTAGCTTAACAAATTTACGTAAATTTAAAATGCAGCAGAACAAATGAATTCTGTTCAACTGAAGGAAAAAAAAAATTTTTTTATAATTTTCGAATGCTTGATTATTTTTTGTTCAGGAAAAGGCAAAAATGTACGCACAAAATTGAAATATATTTATTATTTACTTTATTAGAAAATCACATTATTTGCAGCTCGTTAAGCAACTTCAATCATTTATAATGCAAATAGCAAACAACAACATATTGCAGAATGCTGTAGCACTTGCGCAACATCATGATGCTGTTACGTACGTAATACTTTTATTTCTTACAAACGTTTATTTTTTCTCTCTCATCTAATTTACATTTCACAAAGAACAAGACTTTTTTATTTGAGGGAAGTTTTTATTACAAGAAAAAGTATGGAAAGCATTTCTTGCAATGCCAAGCATAAATTTTTCCAATATTTTAACTAATTAAAAAAAGAAGTTTCTGGCTCAAATGCTATGCGTAATCAGCATGAATTATTTTTACATTAATGACAAAACAAATAGCATCATGGAAAATTTATTATTTTAATTTTATTCGAATTATTCATTGCAGTGGTACAGCACGAGAAAACGTCACAAAAGATTATAAACTTCGACTTTCTCGAGGTTGGAACGAAGCTGAAGTATTAATTATTTGCCGTAAATTTTTTTTTTTGTTAGGAAAACAAAAGCGCTAGGAAAAGTTCACAAATTTTTTATTGACCAAAATGATAGAAAGTGCAATGTTATGAAAAAATCGAATAAAAATTTATAAATTCATAATTTTTTTTTCAAAAAAAAACATAGTAATATATTATTTTATTTTTATCTTAATTTTTAGATAACTATTAATAATGTATTAATGAAATTAATTCCAAAATTGAATGGAACGATTCCCGAAAAACAAATCATTTGCCGTGATATTAATGTAACAATATGCAGTTCAACCAGGTTTCTTGCTCTTTTGACCTTATTGTCACTCTCTTAATTGATCTTCCCTACATTTAACATCTTAGTTTCGTACCTTATCCATCTTTATGTCTAAAAAGCAAAAAAAATGGTTGTCAAATAGATATCAAAATACATGCTAATAGAAAAGAAAGAAGCGGTTAGCATTTGAAATAGCATTAAGAAATATAAAACTCTTGAAAGGTCCAGGATATTTCAGAATTATGTCGTCATTAATGTTAGTTATGCTTGCTGTTTACTAATTTCATCGTAATATTGAGAAGAATACTTTTACTTTTGCTTCTTTCATCTCTTCTTTAATTTTTCCGATTGTACGGTAACGGAACCATTATTGTCTATAATTCAAATTCTCAACCATCGAATACTGTGTTACGGATTCCGTTTTATTCTCAGTCGGCTACTGTTTGGTCATTTGATGGAAAACCAATAAATGTTCAGGTTTGTTCTTATGCATTTTAAATACAAAATGCAAATTATTATAAGCACTTTTTAAACGACTTGCATTCGAACCAATGAAACTTCTAAAAAGTTTTTATAACTAATAAAAGTCTCAAAAGATTGATTAAACTTCCGAAATTTAGCAGATGAATATACAAAAGTACAAAACTATTTTCTTTTTGCCTTCAAAATACAAAGTGTTTGCTAAAAATTTGTGCAACTTCCAAGGATGATAAAATCAACACCTATTTCCTGAAATAAGTTTACTTATCTAGTTTAGTCTATCGCACTAGTTAGACTCTCGATTGTTTTTGCGAAGAAGAGAGTTAAATATTTCATTATTTCATGCAAGATGGTTGAAAAAGGAAAGAATTTGAATTTTGGAAATATAATCAGTAAAAAAGATGTAGATGATCAGTTTCCAGATCAATAAAGTATTCTACAATAGTGCACAGATCAAGAAATCATTAAGTGCTCCATATGAATTACTTATTCCGACAACTGTACCTGCGCTTGGCTTCACAACGTTCTTTTTGTCTAATCAAACGTTCGTGTCATTTCTATTTCATTTTAGAATTTAAAATGATTTCTGCTTGAAATGATAGGATATCTCTAAAATTGCAACGCTGTTTAATTTATTTTTAATTTTTTTGCAAAATATAAATTTTAGGGTCATAAGAATGGTTGAATATGCGAAGCATCGTTCAGTACAAAAAGCAATCAAAAAAGAGCATGCAAAAGCTGCCAATACAAACGTAGTAAAAAATGAGGCAATACTTTCAGACGTGCTCAATTCTATATTGCAATTAATTAGGAGCTAATTAGTATTTGTAAAGATAGCAGAAAAATTGAATGAATAAATGTGATCGAGTGGAATATAAATTAATTTATTCCTTGCATGCTATAGCAAATAAAAAAAGCTAAAATTTTGAGATCAATTCAAATATGAAAGTAAGATTTCATCATTTTTTTCCTACATGAACTGTAATTTTAATGTTAAATTTGCAACTATAAATAACATTCATTACTTTAAATATGAATTTGTAGTACATTGAACTTACGTTTGATAGCACCGGACAGTTGATGTCGCTGAGGAACCGGAAAGCCGGGAAGACCATTGCATTCAGGCAGGAATTCCTTATGTATAAAGGAATGGGTTTCTCAAATTACATGAATCAATCGTCCGGAGCTTATATTTTTCGACCAAATGGTACTCAAGCGGAGAAAATATCAAATGTTACAAGTGTGCAGTATATTGAGGTATGTTCCATCAGGTATATTTTAGTTTGTTGTCTTCAAAAAATATAAATTTATTTATAGGGTTCACTGATAAATGAGACAAGACAGATTATTGCTCCATGGATCAGTCAAGTGATTCGTTTATATCGTGGCAAGAATTTGATTGAATTTGAATGGACAATTGGACCAATACCAAAAGAGCTCAAGTACGTATAAAATTCAACTTTTATTGAAAATAAATCCAAATATTTTTCCAACTGTTTTGAAAAAAAGGAACACAAGTAAGCATTTTTCTGATGGTAGTAAAATAAAAATGTTAAATATGATATTCCTCTTTTGCCCCATCTTCGAAAAGAGATGATTGATTCTATTCCAGTTGGAATATGGTTGCATTTGAATTTGGATTTTTGAATTTTCTTTGCAAATTTCAAACTTGCTTATTATTTTCTGATTTAGAAATCCAATAACAAAGGAAATAATTACACGATATACAACAGACATAAATTCGACTGGTATATTTTACACCGATTCAAATGGAAGGCAAATGATGAAAAGAACGTAAGTGTGCTTCTGTAAAGATTGGCTAACTGTGCTAAATTTTAATAAAGTAGTTAACCTAAGCTGACAAAACTTAGCATAGTTAACCAAACGGAACAAAACTTCTTATTTTTATTTGATCAAAAAGAGAAATGCAATATGCAGCTATTTCCCTGAAGTGTTCTCGCAATAACCATTTTACAAATTGTTCTATCTTTATAAATATGAATTCTATTTGAAGTTCCTTTTAGCACAAACTGTTATCCATCATTTTCGTATACCAATACGGAACCGATAGCAGGAAACTATTATCCTGTTAACAGTCGTATTTATATTCGAGATTCGATAAACCAATTAACCGTACTTACGGATCGTTCTCACGGCGGTACCAGCCTGAACGATGGACAAATTGAATTAATGGTATTACACATGGATTTTTATTGTATAAATTCGTCTTATATCTATTCAATTTTCAATTTCTTATTGCTAACCGAGAATTTTTAGCAATAAAATATTCGCGTGAATAGAAAAATTTTTTTTCAGCTCCATCGTAGATCATTTTATGATGACAATTTCGGTGTCGGTGAAGCACTGGATGAGTTAGGTGATACTGGACAAGGACTGGTTGTTCGAGGACGACACTGGATCATAATGGAAAGTCCCGAAGATTCGGCAAAACTTCACAGACCACTTGCTTTTGAACTTTATAATTCGCCATTAATTACATTTGCGAAGCGCAAAATGGCACCGTCAGATTATGGTCAAAAATTTATTACTGAGGTTGTTTGATGAATAACAAGCATTAAATTAAACCTTTTCTCCATCTTTTGTTAGCTTTTGATTTATGAAAGATATTAGCAAATATTGAAATGAAAGAAATAAATTGATTGATTTATTTCCAGTGAATTTTTGTAAACCGATCTTTCAGAACAATTTCCTATTTTCTAGTATTCTGCTCTAAAGCGACCGCTTCCATTAGCTATCAATATCCTAACCATGGAAATGATAGCTCCAAAACATATCATCATTCGTCTTGAACATATTTTTCAAGGTGATGACGATAAAAATTTAGCGCAACCTATCGAAATTAATTTAAATGTAAGCATTCTTTTCATCTGTTATAAATTGAAAAAAAATAAAAGTAATATGTTAAAAATCTATTATTTTTGTCTATAGATATAAACAATTCATGAAATTATGAAAAGATTACCTATATTCCAATACAGTACCACCGCTCAAAGGATGGCGTAGCTGCATATCGAGCAAGGAAAACGGAAAAACAAAGCTCATTACTTCTGTCCCCAACTATCATAGAAAGTTCAGATAAGCCGAGAAGAAACTTTCATCAGTAAATTACTCTCGGCTTGCCTGAATCTTCTTTCATTATGTCTCACCCACCTTTTCCAAACTTTAAATCATTTATAGAATAACACTGAATATTCTATCATTATAGGGTTTATTTACCGCATTCGATATTGTCTCCATTGAGCAGCTCAATCTTGCAACGATGAGAAAAAGAACTTTGAACAGGTCTGCACAAAATAATCCATTTAGACTGGATCAGAATTCTCGAAGAATCTCCCAAAAAGGTAATTTTTTTTTCTTCTCTTTTACAAGGTCATATAGTTCTTTTTCACTTGATAAACAAATTTTTTGAAAGAGAGACAGATGTTACTCATAAATTGCTGGTTTGATTTCATTTTTTTTTTTAATTTAAATCTTATTTGATGATATTCCAGAAAGTGATATTTTCGTATTAATAAGTTAGAGTTTTATACCCTTCAACATATTTATATAACTATTTATCAATTCTATTCTTCACTTTTTTCACTAACAATTTCTTCTTAACCGGAGAGATACTTGTTGAGCAAGAGGGTAAAGAGACATACTGCAGAAAATTTAAAGGAGACAAGAAGGTCATTAGGAAATGGGGTCATTATCGGTAATGATTAAATCAGTCAACTAATCCCTGAAGGAGAAAATAGGACAGGTTCTGTGAACGCTCTCAATTTAATTTCGGCTCGATTTCTTTTTTATGTCCAATGTATCTACTTCTTCCAAAATTTGATTTTATTGAAAATCAAAGTTTCAGTCATTGGGAAAAAGAAATTAAAAGAAAGAAACGAAATGGAACATGTTTTCGAGTTGTTCGTCAGCTTACAGCCTATGGAAATTCTGACATTTGAAGCCGAAATACGCCCTATCAAAAAAACGTAATTTCATTCTCAGTAAGAAGAAAATGGAGAAAATAATTAAATTGTTCAAGAAATAACTGTAAAAATTACAAATAAAATGAGTCATTGTACTTCTGATATGTCTCCCCAATGCACAACAAAAGGTTATCTCATTTATAGCTATGAGAGGAGCAGAAAAGGTCATAATAATCTCATTAAGGTTAAACAGAAACAATTCTTTTCCCGCAACGAAACAATGATAAATAAATCGGATGAGACATTCCTGTTGCACATTATGACTGAACGCGGAGCGCGTTAGCATTGGACGATGATTAAGCGAAATGTGGAAGTGAGGATGGGAAGTGTTGCATTCTCGGGAAGCGGTCTCTGTTGAGGAGTGCTTTTGGTTTTTTTTTTTTGGACTTTGTTATGTTTGTGCGTTGCAGTTGTTGCTTTCAGAGTGTTACTGAATGTGCATGGGTAGTTTTATATGTTTGTAATTTTGTGTTCAAGAGTAGAGACTTGAAATTGAATGTACCGGAAAAAATGAAATCTTAAAAGTGAATAGCGTAATATTTATTCAGCTAACGCATTGTTAAATGTACAATATAGAAATAATTAATTGGTCTTATACTGTTGATTTATCTTTTCCTTTATTCCGGCTTGTATATTATTCTTTCCTTTCCTTCAGCGATTCAAAACACGTAGTTCCTTTCTTCCTGGATTATGAATGCATGATAACGTTTTATCCAAAAAAGTTGAGGATAAATATTCCACATTCTGCAGTGTATCATAATTTCCTATGTTTAACATTTGTAAAATGTACTTCTAAGTAAAATTGAAAAGGAACATGATGTCAAAAACCACATATTGATTTCTGGATATGATCGTATCTAGGCCTTTTTCTATGGATCCGTATTTCGAGCGCTTCTAAATAGCAGTATTGCTACCAGTTTCAGTCCTCTACTGAATCATCCAGAGTATTTTTGTTTTAACATTATGGACGCTTCAAAACTAACTTAAATGTACTTACAAGTTTAATTCAATGTCGTCACCAATTACATGCTGTTGCTAGTGGCATCCTTGACAACAATAAAATTTCAATTAAAAATAATGCAACGCGATCAAGTTTACACTTTGTTTCATTTATCTGCACACTCCGCATATCATGGGTATACCATAGTTGACAGTGACTTTTTCGACCATCCAAGAGGGTCTATATATATGTGGCCCTGTGTATATGTAAAGAGCAATCACGGAATATATCGATCCACGTATGCCTCTTTTGGATCAATGCTCTCGGTGATTCCTCTTTACATAAATATGCCGCCACATGTATGTGGATCAAACAAAAAAAAAAAATGAATCTAACTGGTTAGCAAAACAGAGTTTCGCATCAATTTCAGTGTATCGTTTTGTGTGTATTGTAAAATCTAGCTGCTGTATATAAATAGTTGAAGATAATGATATGATGTGTGAAGAGGAACAGAGATTGATAAGAACTGCCAGAGGCAACGTTTCACTCAGGTGGTAATGATTAGCTAACGACAGATCATAGATAAAACAGCGACAAATTGCCTTCCAAAAATTAGCCTATGAATATTTTATTCGTTTTAGTTAAGAAAATAGCTATGTGAAGGGAAGAGATAATCTGATGTTTACTGAGAGGAAAAAGGACATATCAGTAATTTAGTTAAAAGGAATAAGGGAGTCATTAGTATCTGTACTGTTATCACGATTTTTTGAGTTGCGCATTGTTTTTATTTTGGAAACAAATGTTTGCAAAATTTGTAGGATTTATTAAAAAGTACTACCTAGCTTCGTGTTGGCATTGCGCATATGGCAGCTATCCGGAAGAAACTGGTTATTGTTGGTGATGGTGCCTGTGGTTAGTGATTTATTATCCGATTTTTTATTGTTTCATATTGTAGAGAAAAAAAATTTCGTTAGTGAAAAAACGCGCGATAAAGAAAATCGTAGTAAACTTCTCATAAATTGCCACTTTTGCAGTAAGTAGCTAATTATGTTTTTGGTGCAAAGAAGAAAATTTTGACTGAAGGTGAGGATTTTGTGAAAAACAAGCATCTGTTTCAGGCAAAACATGTTTGTTGATTGTATTTAGTAAAGATCAATTTCCTGATGTGTATGTGCCAACGGTTTTTGAAAATTATGTTGCAGATATAGAAGTTGATGGGAAGCAGGTAGTTTATTTTGTATTTTTTCCAATTTTGCATCATGATGTTTCACCAAAATCATAAGTGATCAGCTGTTCAGATCTCAATTGTAAATATAAATTCCTGTAAAAAGTTTGTTAGTATTTAATTTTAATTTCCATTCTCTTGTGAAATTTTTTACTGGCTGTTGCAACCTTTGCTTAAAAGGAAATGAGTCATTGGCATTTTTTATCTTCCATTTCTCAACACTGATACTGAAGTGTTTGTCAGATAAGTTCACAGATTCGTTGCATCAGCTAAAGTATTGTTCGGAGACCTAAAAATGTAAACACACAGTAATATTAATGATTTTTAACAGTGATAATCACTAAATGATTAAATTGTTATGAAAAAATTTTTCGAAGTAATAAATGCGAGGAAGAAATTAATAAAGCTTTTTTATCTCTGTTTGTTGTTCGTGCAGGTAGAATTGGCTTTATGGGACACGGCTGGCCAAGAGGACTATGATCGACTACGTCCACTCAGTTATCCGGATACTGATGTTATTTTAATGTGCTTTAGTATCGATTCACCCGATTCACTTGAAAATATTCCCGAAAAGTGGACTCCTGAGGTCAATTTCAAATTCTTTTAAATATCAGTTTGCGTGAAGTGCTAACTTCATATTAAAATATAAATGGGTAATTTAAAGCTTTTTTCTTTTCAATATTATGTTTTCTTTCTTGTAAACTTTAAAACTTTGTCACTTTTAGTCATTACCTTCGTAACTGCAATAATGCAGCTTGCATTATATGAAAGACAAGAGGTTATATTCTGTTTCTCTTTATAATGATAAGTTCAGGTGCGTCATTTTTGCCCAAATGTCCCAATAATTTTGGTTGGTAACAAAAAAGATCTTCGAAATGATCAACAGACTATTCGTGAATTGGCAAAGATGAAACAAGAACCGGTAAGACCGGAGCAGGGACGTGCTATAGCCGAGCAGATAGGGGCCTTCGCATATTTGGAATGCTCTGCCAAAGCAAAGGATGTAAGTTTTGTTGAATTCGAAAAATCTTCGAAAAAGGGATGACAGCAGAGCATTGAATATATATTTAGTAATTACACATTCTTACGAGTTTAAAATAAAGCTATCGAAAAGCTGGACAGAAATAAATAAAATGGAGTAGATAAAATCTATTTACATTTAAAATTAATTAAGTACCCTTTACCAGTCAGAACAACAGTATAGAAAATCAGGAAAGCAATGTTTTACATCTGGTGGAATAGTTTTCTGCTGGCCTGAATCATTATTGGATGCTTTTAGAAAAGGTTCTAGAAAAAAGAGTAAGTTCAAGTACGACGGAAATGAAAGAAGGAGAAATAAATGTAATTGAGATTTATTAGACTGTATAAGTTTAGAATTAAAGATGAAAAACTACAAATCATGAAGGGCAGAAAGCAAAACAAGCGCTTTTATTTTCAGAAATAAAGTCTTCAATTATAAACCTTTGTTTAGGGCATCCGCGAAGTGTTTGAGAAGGCCACACAAGCAGCATTGCAACAAAAAAAGAAGAAAAAGAGCAAATGTAACATTCTTTGATTTCATAACAAGTCTCAAACTGCAAAACTTCAGTTTTTTCACATATAACATTTTATTTGATGATTCTTTAATCGAGCACCAAATATTATCATTATCATTATTATTTCCAAATTTCCTGTTTAATCATTATATCCATCCAATTATTTATGAGTTTAGAGGAATTAGGAGTGGTATGAGAATTGAAGGTCTTCTGTAAATTTAGTGTGTAATAAGAAATTAAGAAACAATTTTTCCCTTTCGGCTCTTAATTGCTATTGGTATTCTTAAGTGAATTCTATCTCTAAAATCATTTATCTTCATTTACTGCTAAAAAAGAATATGCAGGAAATTAAGCAGAAGTATTAGTTCTTTAATTTTCTTTTTTAATGCTGAGATTAATATTCGATTTTGATATAGGTGGTAGTCAGTATGGTGTTTGAAGATTATATTCAATTGCTTAGGAAATGATAAAGTTGAAAAGTCAAACTGTAGTATATTTTCATTTTTCGATGCATTTAGTAGTGTTGATAGCAGTATTGGATACTTGTAACGGACATGTGCACAACTGTTATCTGCATAAACTTGGGATTACGAAAAATTATGGGTTACCGCGCTTTATTTTGATTTCAACATATTTTAAAGGATTACATATTATATTGGTTTCGTTATTATCTCATCTGTGTTCCCTTTTCTTTACATTTATTCACCATCAAATACTGCTGTAATTTGCCATTAATAAATATTTCATTTTAAAGACTTGCTTCTTTCGAGTTTGAACTTCGAATAGTTGCAGATCTTTACGGTGCATTCACAATCACCCAAGAAATTTGCTGGACCTCCAAACTTATTAAATTAAAGCGTTCAGTTATTCCAGCTATGCATCACCTTGAAGTGAGGTGTTCTGAATTCACCTAAACACTGGAAGGGGTGACATATTTATTACTGGAATTAAGGATCGAATAAAACAGACTAACTCAGCTTTTTGGAATTACTTTCACACCAAACTGGAGTGCAAGCATTGATCAGAAATTCGCTGATTTTCAGAAGGTTGAAAAGTGCGTTATTGATAATCATGCAACCAATATCAAGAAACAGTTCGGTAATCAAGCTTATAAAATTATCATTGAGCCTTTCAAGTACTTTTTTTAGCTTTTCTTTTCCAAAATTAGGTCCAACATTTACGATATTAATCAACCACTTGTAATTTTCTGTGTAGTAAGGTTCAATATTTTTGCATCTTGATTGCTTGTTCATTAAAAAGCCAAGTTATGAATATTACGTTTATAAAATAGTGTTCAAATTAATGAGCAATGAACATCATACATTCCATAAGCAACGTATCTACTGAGATTATCAAAGTTATGCCAATTTTTGATTCATATTTTTATTGAAAAATTAGTATAGGCCTGAGAGGTAAATTGAGGCGAAAAAATGATTTTAAAATCCTTCTCTCTAATTATCTTACATTTCTTCTCATGTTACTGGATATTACTGTTGTGCTTATGTGATGAAACGGAAGAAAATAGTGTACATAATTTACAATGTATCTTTCTAATAACATCGGGGTTTATGCTAATACTTCAGCGAAACTACAGGTAGCAGAAGATTTGTACCTGTAATGCTAGCACTATTTTTCAAGTAAATGAAAACCTGAATGACCTTCGCCATCTTTCAACTAGTCACTGTAATGTAATATGATGTGTCTTTCCATTTTATTTTCGATTTCCTATACTGATTTATCTCACTCCATAATTAATTTTCCATAATTGATTAAAGGTTATTTACAGAATGATATTATTGTCAACAGTTTGTTCAATGACATATTCCAGAAAAAACTTTCACCGGCTAATTAGACCCGTCTTCATGGAATAATTAAAACTATGCCACTAACTGTATTTATGATCTCAAAAGAGTATGAATACAATATTCGTGAGAAACACCCATAATATTCGTGAGAAATTTATTCCCTATTTCTTTCATTCATGCAATTAATTTTATGTATTTAAATTCAATTGTATCGATCTTCATTTTGTGCAAATAATATCCATAAATTGTCTGCTGAAAATAAGATATGAATCAATTACATTTACTGCTAACGAAAGATGCACGGTTTTTTTTTCTTCAAGAAATCTATGTTTGGAAGATGGGAAACTCAAACTTTAGATTTGATTTGATCTGTTGGAGAAAAAAGGATTGGATTGGAGGAGAAAGGAAAAAAAAAGGAGTAGAAAATATCAAAGTATGACAATATTGCAGAAAAAAATTTTAGTAAGTAAATAAATCCCAATCTGAAGTAACGTTCACATTTCCACTCTCTGCTTTACGGAGACTGTTTCGAAAATTGCAGTTGTCTAATCAATTTAGAAACTTGGAAGACCACAATAAATTCTTCATAACCGTAAATGATAATCCTTTGATGAAAATAATTTTGAAACAATTCACTTGTTGATAAAAAGCTTGAACTTCGTACAATGGTGAATTAAACATCATGGCGGGTAATCTACATTCTGTATTTGTATTTTGTCAGTTCAGTTCTCTAAACTGAAAATTCTCAATCCTATTTTTCTCTGGATACTATAGGAGTTCGCAAACCAACAATACTAAAAGTTTACACTTTTTGAAATTCACTTCTTATTCCTCATAAATCTTAAATTATGAGAAACTTTTTGAAATTAACCAATCAAGTAAGAACATATGAAGAAACTCAAGCTTCCAAAGATCCAATCAAAAGCTTTCAAAAAATGAAGGCATTCACGTGCAGCTATTATGTAATGTGAACTCATTCCTTCGTCATTTCCTATTTTAGTGAATTTATTCTTTTGTTCAAGAACAGTAGGTAATGTAAGCAATGAAATAGTAGGTAATATAAGCAAAGAATGGTTTAATTGTCCTGTCAACATTTTTTTCAGGTACATCTCGATTTTAAAATCGCTATCTATACCGGTTTAATTCCATTTCTCTCTTCGACTATAATTCCCAACTCCTGAAGAGTGCATTATTTTTCGATCCATAAAGATTTAATTGTGTCATACATTTACATTCATTTTTTAATGCACATTGAATTTTAAATGTTTTCTTTTATATACATATGTGAATTATTTAGCATTATTAAAACTCAGAGAAGAGATAATATCAAACGGAGCTTTTAATTTACCTTTAACTGCTATGTTATCTTCATGCAAAGTAGTATTAAACAGCTACACAAAATAAGAAAACAAATAATCGAACATGCAGGTTTAACTGTTGTAATGTGTAAGCTACACAGAACTCGCTGATGGATCTAAAAGTCGGGCTAACCTCAAAATGTGATATTCCGGAGGTTACTTGAAGGTGCTCCAACAGCAATTTAAGACTTCACTTAAGTTCCCCCCTGCGAATGTGCACCATCAAAGCTAATATTTGAAGTTGGAAATATTTAACGCAGCCGAATTTTTGAGACCGGTACTTTTGAGACCGATTGTATTTTGTTGTTTCCTGATTCTGTTGCTCGATTTATGTGGCATTTAGATTTCGTGATGAATTTGGAAGAAACGTGGGAGCATAGTTTATGACGCCCAGGCGTTCACGGCAACAACGACAGTTCACGCAAGTTTCAACAGCCTCCAAATGTAATAGCTACCGCGGTAAATGCATTTCTTTGAAGCAGCTGTTATGTAAATATAAGCAATGATAATGTGACACATGTGTGAATACATTCTTCAGCGTTCCATGCAGTTCAAATTGATTAAGCAAATATTACCTGGAATTCAGTGATCAAATATTATATAATTAGCTTTTTGAAATTGGCTAATTGAAGAATATAAAGCATGAGATATCGGAAGAGACCGTTCTTTTGATGTGAAGTTTTAAAAATCGCTAGAATATGATAAACTGACATCTAAGTGCCTGCTCATGAAACGGTTGGATCATAGCAGAATGAAAGATTCATATCAGTAATAAGTGTGTGATAATTGAACATTCTACGGTCATTTCTGTATTTTTCGAGCTGTGACTTTTATCTGTAAATTTTAGATCGACATCATGAAGAAGAATGCTTAAAACTATTTGAATCGTGTAAAAAAGGTGATTTGTCAATCTTATTGCAATTGCTTAAACCTGGAATAGTAAATCAGGTATGTTAAATTGTTTTATTACTCTAGTTATCCTAAAGTGCCTGCATTAATGAGAACATTTTGACGCTCAGATTTGATATATTATGAAGCAGTTTTACTAACTAGTTTTTCATAAATGAAATAATAGAATGCCTACAATGGTGTTAATAAAGTTGCTGAAAGACTAACTAGCAGTAAGAAATCATTCCAGTTCAGTTTCGCGAGCCATAGCTCGAAATATCAAGCAACTAAAAAATGAGTCTTTCTGGGAGTAATTTGTTTCTTATTATTTGGATATCTGGATCAATTAAGAATATTTTTGAAATTGATATGGATTATTGAAATTTTTGATTTTTCCATGGTATTTTTTCTCAGCCTGATCTAAACAATCGCCATTCATCGCCGTTACATTATGCAGCCGGTTTCGGGAGAGTAGATTGTGTTCGAGCATTACTTGCTGCTGGTGCAAGTGTAAGCCAAACCGATGATAATGGTTTGGTTCCGTTGCATAATGCTTCCTCATTTGGTCATGTTTATGTGGTGAAAATTTTGTTGGAAAATGGTGCTGACGCAAACATTAGCGATCACTGGGGATTTACGCCACTTCATGAAGCAGCTGCGTGGGGAAAAGTTTGTTTCTTTGGTTAATGAATTTGTGGAAGAGTATTCAAGTAATATTACATATTGAAATTTAATACTGCTTTTTGGAGTGATAAACTTTGAATATAAAATTTTTCGTCGATTTTTCATTTTCTTTCCTTTTTTTTCTCCCAGAAAAAATTCGAACACAAGTCAGTTTTCGTTTTTTGCGATAACACATAACGAAAAGATTATTTGCATTTAATTACTTTGGAAATCATTTTCAGGCTGATGTTTGCGTCCTCTTGTTGCAGCATGGTGCTTTAGCACGGAGTGAAAATTCGGATGGTAAAACACCACAAGATTTAGCTCACGGTGATGCTAAAGCTGTTTTTACAGGTCAGATATTGTAATTTGGTGCGAGTTGAATAAATTTATAGATTTAATAGATATAAAGATATTTGAAAACAGCCTTGTTTCTGCTGCTTGCAGGTGACTATAAAAAAGAAGAGTTATTAGAAGCAGCAAGGAATGGAGATGAGGAAATCCTGCTTTCTTGTTTAACACCTTTCAATGTTAACTGTCATGCTGTTACCGGGCGAAAGGTAGAATTTATTATTAATAAAGAAGGAATAAAAGTCAGCTGAAAAATCCGTTGATGTTTTCTTAGATCCGCAAAAAAATTTGATGAGTGAAATTTGATTCGAAGCTTGAAAAATTTAATCTAAGATTGAAAGCCAATTTGTTTATTGTGAAATTTGATTTAATTTCACATTTGCCTAATCATTATATTTCTTGCAGTCAACACCTTTACATTTGGCTTGTGGTTATAATCGAGTAAGAGCTGTTAAAATCTTGTTAGAAAAGGGTGCCGACGTTCAGGCTGTAGATGTTGGGTATGTTATTGTTTAAGGCAGTATCTAAAATTTCCTGTTCAACATATCTTCGCAACATTGTGAACTTTTTAAGGTTTTCACCTATATTGAAAGTTCGTTTTTTCCTTTAGAAAGTTCTATGTTTTTGAAGTCACATGTTTATGCTGTTTGTATTTACATTTGTTATAGGGGCTTGGTACCACTTCATAATGCGTCTTCATTTGGACATTTGGAAGTGGTCAATCTATTGTTGGAAGCAGGCGCCGATTCACAAGCCGAAGATTTATGGAATTTCACACCACTTCATGAATCTGCGAGTAAAGGACGTTTAGAGGTATGTTTACACAACATATATTGCATGTTGTGTCTTAAAATCTTTTAAACTTTGCTTTTTTAAATTATGAGTGCTTCAAAGTTTAAATTTTAATCATTCCAAGGTGGTGAAATTACTGGTAGCTAGTGGAGCTGATCCAACACGTAAAATTGGCAATGCAAAAGCACCTATCGAATATATAACTGATGAAGATGCTAAAAAAGAAGTGCTTCATGAATATGCAGGTTATAAAATTTATATGGCAGCGCAAATCGGTGATGTTCTTATGGTTCGTAAATTTTTAATCGTCTGAAAAAAGCTCGATCAGAAATTTTAGATGTTAAAATGTTCAGTGATAAGAAGGATTTTTTGGTAGTATGGATTATGCAGTTTCGGATGGTGTGCAGTTTGTAGAGTTAATTTTTTAATTTATATATAAGTTGGTTTATTTTCAGTTGAAAAACTTGCTAAGCGATCGAGATCCCAATTATGTACATCCTTCTCTGAAAGAAACTCCACTACATGCAGTTGCAAGCTCAGCTCATCAGAGAAAAAAAATAATTGCTGAAATGCTTTTGAAAAATGGCTGTCCTACAGGTGTCCTGAACAGAGAGTAAGTTTTTACATTGAGAGATTCTTTTTATCAATTTTGATTACTGTGGTCTTTCTTGATTTCAAATTGATTTCGAATATACTTGCAACGTGCTATAAATGACCTTTTTTTAAAACGCGAGCTGATGAAGACTATCCAGCTTTCTCAAAAATATTAAAATATGAAAAATGAGTATTTTTCGGTTTTCAGTGGTTTGTCTCCACTGCATATTGCGACAAAAATGTGTTCATATGATGTATTGGAAGTACTAGTAAATTACGGAGTTAATATTAGTGAACTAAATAGCTGTGGTCAGACAGCGCTCCATATTGCAGCCGAAAAAGGAGATCTTGATTTGTGCAAGTTAGAAGTTGCTTTATATTTCTTATGTCTCTAGAAGTTTATGAAACCGGAACTTCTTTTATATTTAAGTTATTTTCTGGTGCTAAATCATTAAACTTATTAATTTGAAACAGTGTTCATATTTACTTTTCTTCAGAATCCATCAGGTTTTTCAAATCGAAAATGAGTAATTGCCGTAGAATTAATGAAAATTTTTCGAAAAATGATAAACACTTATTTCAGACGACTGCTAAATTACGGCTTACCATTCGATCTGAGGGATAACGAACAAAAAACAGCAGCTGACGTTGCAGGAAATATTGAAATTAGAGATTTAATCAATCGTTGGAGTCTAGAAAAAACAAACACCATAGAAAAACGCTGCAAAGTAATGAAACGTTTAATTTTGTCTGATGTCTTTGCGAATTTTGGTTAACAAAATCTCATTTTAAAATGCATGCATTTTCATTTTTTCTTTCTCTCGCTCTTTTTTTCTTATATTTAAACTAATAACTTTTTATTCCCAGCTATTTTCTAGTTTCACTCCACTTGATTCGGTTTTTTTAAAGATGGGAAGCAGTAGGTTTGTTTTATCGTTATTTTTCCCTATTGGTGATACCTGCTTGAGTTGTTCTAGCTATGTCACTTGAGTGTTTAACACGGTTAAACTTGTGAATTATATATCTTACCAAATTTTGTGCAGATTCAGGCACTTTTCTGCTTTTTTTTTGTATTAGGGTTGCTGTACATAATGTAATCAATCTAATCCACTTGTATACGACATAGTCCATTATCAGTAGATTATTGGATGGAATTAAAAAGATAAAATATGTTTTATTATTTCTGGACATTTTTTAAAGGGAAACAAAAATATAAAATGTGGTAAGCGAAGGGAAGGGTGTAAATACTGTCCTGAAAGCCGAAATCGTGGCAATGGTTCTGGAAGTAGTGAGCTTGAAGCACCAGAAGTGCACTGCAATGTTACGAGACATTCACAAGAATTAGATCTACTAGATGCTGCAAGATGCGGTGATCTTTGTACAATAAAGGTAAGAGAGAATTTTTAATCTACATGCTACGATGTACTATTTGTTCAGTCAGCTGTTCTTCCTAAGTTATCTTTTTTTACATTTTGATCAATGAAACGAGATCAAAGTCGCATTGTAAATTTCCAATTCCTACAGAGCTAATAATTAAAATAGTCATTTATTTCCATTAATATTTTTATAAGAATAATATATTTTAAGGTGCTAAACCTCATTTTTTAGATAAATGTGATGCATTTTTTGGATTAGCGAAAGCTTTTTCATGTAGAGAATAATTCTTTCAAATCTGTTGTACAAAATGCATATTTTAGGATTCTGTGATAGATTCGAATATGTTAGTTCATTGTTGAAGTTTTACAGCGTATAATTGAAAGTTGTGGGACAAAAATAATAAACTGTAAAGATTTTGACGGTCGTGAATCAACACCCTTACATTTTGCTGCTGGATATAATCGCGTAGAAGTATTGAAGTATTTACTGGAAAAGGGCGCTAATGTTGAAGCAAGAGACACAGGGTATGGAATTCGAGTTTGGTATCTGTACAATGAATTGTTTATTTTCCAAAAGTCTCATTGAACTGTATATACTTATTGCCATTCAATATCTGTTACTTTTCTCATACAGTATAGCAAGCCGAGAAAAATTAGGATTATCAAGGATGATCTTTCATAAATCTTTTGCGGCCTATCTTCATTATTCTGTTTTTTAGTTGGTTGGTTCCGCTGCATAATGCGTGTGCATACGGTCACTTGGTTGTTGCAGAATTACTTGTAAAGGTTAATTTCTAATAGTGATTAACTTTCGTAGAACCGCATGTGATATTAAGGTTCATGCCTGTTTTTTTGTCTGTTCATTTTGTTTTATGCAGTGAAGTTTTTATCATAAACGGATGCGTACTTTTGATATTTGCATTTTATAAATGACAATCATTATTTTTTATATGGATTTTAAGTATATATGTGTAGTATATCAATTTGAATTTATTTTCGTGCTAAAAAAACGCACGGAACCTCTGCTACACAGGGTTGTGTTTTTCTAAGTTTTTAATATTATCGGTACTTAGTTGTTAGTATTCTTTAGCATGGCGCTAATTTAAATGCCATCGATAAGTGGGGCTATACTCCTTTGCACGAAGCTGCTTTGAAAGGGAAGTTTGATGTCTGTAAACTTCTTCTGCTTAGTGGTGCTGACCAGAAACATAAAGGGCGCGATGGAAAGACTCCGTTGGATGTTGTAAAGGAAGGTAATCATTATTTCTATATGAACATAGTTTCCGCAATGAATTTTCAAATTTTTAGTAATTTTACATTTTAAAAGTAAGTATGAGATTTTTTCAAGTATATGAAGGTTATTTAGATATCTTTTCCGCGAATGTCAGTATGCAATTTATTTGCATTTCTAGGAGCGGAAGATGTATATAATCTGCTGCGCGGTGATGAAGCGGTGCTTGAGGCAGCTAAAGAAGGTGATGTTGAAAAAATTCGGAAAATTATTATTCCAGCGACTATCAATTGTCGTGATGTTCGAGGACGTTTTTCAACACCGCTGCATTTGGCCGGTGAGCTTCTTTAGCCGTATTCAGATGTCCCAAACAATGCATGAAATTGCATCAAATGTTTTGTTATTACTTTCTTAGAGTGAAGAGCTGAAGAAAAAAATTACTTTTTTAAATTACTTTCTTGTCAAAATGATTACAAAGCAAGAGATATTTCATGACCTAAATCACTCCTCCCAAATCCTCTTTTGTAAATAACTTGGTAAAAATTCTGGTTATTCAAACGATGAAAAGTGGGTTTCAGCTGGCTATAACAATTTGGAAGTTGCGCGATTTCTGCTTGAAAATGGTGCAGAAGTTAATTTGAAAGATAAAGGTGGTCTGATACCGTTACATAATGCGAGCAGTTTTGGACATCTGGAGATTGCCGGGTTATTAATTGAATATGGGGCTGAAGTGAATCACCCTGATAAATGGGGATACACTCCTCTGCATGAAGCTGCCCAAAAAGTAATGCTGTCATTACTCGAGCGACATTTTAATATGTATATACTGATTTCGTCAGAAAGATGTGAATTTATCAGTTTGCTTACTATGACCACTAAAATTATTTCATATTATTAGTGATAGACGTGACATTGCTAAGATGCATCCATTTCAGGGTCGTACCCAGATTTGTTCACTGCTTTTAAATAACGGTGCAGATGTTACATTGAAAAATAACGAAGGTTTTACTGCATTGGATATCACTGTTACTGAAGACACGAAAGAGCTGTTAATGGTATGTATTCTTGTTTTAAAAATCTTTATTGTCTACAGTGGGAAGTTTCTTTTTGGGAAACTTACGTTGTATATCCGAAGAGTTATTTTAACAACTCTATTTTATTCAGAGTGCAATGCCGGTTGATCTGAAAAAATTACCAGCTGTCCACATTGCGGGTGACGCAGATGGATCAGTGATTGATTTACCAATTCCATCTTTTGTGCAGAAGATTCCAAAAAATGCAGCTGATGACATGCAATTAGGAGTGGCAAATTGTTCGAGACAAGATATAAGTTTAGAAAATGAAAAAGTAATATTTTCTACATTTTTTGTGGGATGTTTCTTTTTCTGTTAAAAGTGCTTCATATGCTACATTTTAATATTAGTAATTCAAGTTCAAGGATTTTCCAATTCTTGTTCTTTCTATGATTAAACAGATAGGCTCTTGGGATGGATCTCATGCTAAAGCTTTATTTGAATTTATTCAATTTAACTAAGCAAGAATAGTTCGTACGTTAAAAGCTACAAAAAACATACACGGTAGTATAACCCTCAGAATTCTGAAATTAATCACTTATTGTGGCATTATGCGTACGAAAAATTTTTAGTGCATTTATTTTTGCGACATTGCTTTTTAGATTTCTGAATTCACAAATAGGTTGGTTTAATGAAATATTCTTTTCCAGGTAGAGTGTAACGAGTATGAAACAAAGTTTTCTATGGATGAGTATTTGCAATCGATTGGTCTTAGTTCTCTGTTGAATCTCTTTGCTAAGGAAAAAATTACACTGGATGTTCTGTCCATAATGACGCACGATGATTTGAAAGCTATCGGTATTGATGCTTTTGGAACCCGATTTCGATTGCTTAAGAATATTGAAAAATGGGTACGAAAAAGTGAGAGATTTTTTCAATTTCTACGCATTTAAATCGAAACTGCATAGTTTAAAGCAAATTACTCTTTTTTCATGATTTTATTTTTAATTTATTTAAGACAAGATATGGGGTTCGGAAGTTGTTACAGTCATGTTTGAAAAACATTCATTATGGATTTAAGGACTGATATGTACGTTTGTTATTTCCTGTAAAACATAACGTGAACATGATTATCTGTTAATTATAACTAATTGTTTATTGTTGTCGGATCAAATTTATTGGTAGTAATTTGAAAAAATGAAGCAAAAGTCGAAATAATCATAGTGTATTTTGAAATATCCATTGCCGTTTGTTAGCATCGCAGTTTTTCATTACCATTTGTTTGCATCCAGTCTAACCATATTATTTCGGCTGTTACACATACGCCTAAACATGTATTTAGATAACGAAAATAGAAATTCGCCGAATAATATCGGTATACCACTATCGATAGGCACAGTGCTGGTACAAATTGAGCGTTCAAATGAAATCTTCCAACAGATCGAAGAAGGACTGAATTCTACAATTGTACCACACCGAGATCTTGGTTTGGGCGGAACATACACCAAGTTTGAAGTGGTTGAAATACAAAAGATTATTAACAGAAAAGTTTATGAAAGGTGATAGATTATGATTGTAGAGAAACTCACAAAATAAATTAATCAAGAGTGAACTTGCAGCAATAAATTATAAAATTGGTTAGAAATATATAGATACACAATTAAAATTAAAGTTTTTGAGACCTAATTTTGTGAAAAAATTTCTTTTTCCTACTGATTTTAACCTTCTTCAAAATAAAAGACTTTCAAATTCATTTAATTGACTAGCTAATTTATTAATTTTTAAACTTTTTTTATAAAGGTATATGCGACGTCGTGGAGATATAGCGGAAGAGAATTGTGGTGAACATAACGAGAAAGTTTTGTATCATGGGTCACCATTTATACACTCCATTGTACAGAAAGGTTTTGATGAAAGGTATTCATATATGGGTGGTATGTTTGGTGCTGGTAAGTAACTTGGATTTGTGCCAATTTAGAAAGTTAATGAATGAAAAAATTCTTTCTATGAAGCATGTCCTTATGCTCGAAACTTTGCAATATGAGAATATTTAATGGTCTTTTTGTTCTGAATTCAGTATCAGCTTCAAGTGCACTTAATGATATGACAGCCTCATATTTATTTACTGAGTCGTAAAACAGAATGTAGTGAAACTGCGTAAAAAGCGGATTAGTTATATAACCGTGCAACTTTTTTTTGTTATATAGTAATTGATTATAATATTTGAAGAATATGAAAATCGCCTGTTTACTTTTCAAGTAAGAATTTTTTACTGTGGTGTGTATGAAACTGTAAATTTTGACTCACTTGAAATTGAATCATATAAAAGAAAATTAATTGGATTTAATTCAAGAGCTACTTGTAGGTATTTATTTTGCGGAACATTCGAGCAAAAGTAATCAATATGTATTTGGTATGGCAGGCAATGGTTGCAGTCTTCATCATGATCGTTCTTGTTATATCTGTGTACGACATTTATTACTTTGTCGAGTAACGTTAGGAAGATGCTTTATACAGGTAAGTCTGTTCCATAATTGTTTAATTTTTGACAGAATTGAGGTCGCCAAACAATAAAAAATTGGTTTGTTTTGTTTTGAAAGATTTCTTTTTTATTATGGCATAGTTTGAAATAGATGGGAACAAAATCTTTTATTCTAATTCTATTGCTTAACAGATGATTTGAATTATCTTTTTTTATAGAGTTCCTGTAACAAAATGGCACACTCACCGCCTGGTCATCATTCAGTAATGGGACAACCTCGTGCAGGTGGTCTAAATTATCCGGAATATGTCATATATAGAGGAGAGCAAGTGAGTAGATCTTTCATAATTTTTAAATCAAATTTTAATTATGTTCCAGAAGAATTCGTGAATTAGATATTAGATGGATATTTAAGAAAAGTATACTGCAAAAAAATTTGTTTATAGAAATGAAGTTTGAATTTTGAGAATGTGATATAAAATTTAATCCATTTTTCCAATTTAAGAAGTGGCTATTATTGTATTCTTGCATGATACTTTTAAAAAGACTACCCACTAGTGAAATTTAGTTAAGGTCTGGATAGATGTTGTAATGTTTTGGTCTGATGAATTTGGCAAAATTATTGAAATTTATAATTCTTAGGAGCTACCATCACTGATGAAGAGAGGTGAAGATTTTGTGCAGTATTAATATCATATAATATATAAATGTATTTTTGAAAACAGTTTTTGCAGGCCTATCCGGAATATGTGATTGTTTATCGAATAGTTAACGATGATCTAGGACCTGCTTTTTGATGGTTGTTTCATTTTTCTTCACTTTGATTGTTTTTAGTTTTTTTGTTCAAGCAAAAAATTTTCATTCCAGGAAAATTTTAATCTTATACGCCAAAAATATTATGTATCTAAAATGATGGAAATATTTTCAAGGTTTGAAACATAACTGAGCAAATTGAAAGAATACTTAAAATGGTACTTTCCAAACATAGCAACTATCCTCAAATTTTATTACTTGATAAAAAGACGCGAGAGTTTCTCGAACGAGAAAGATCCATTATATATCTTTAAATATTATAAGCGAGCTTATTATCGATTAGTACGAGTTGCTGCTATTTTGCCAAAGTCATATATAATGCATTATCAATAAAGGGTAATTGCTCAGAATATTGAGCTTTAAAGACTGTTTTTTCTGAAATCTTCTGAAAAATGTCGAAGTTCTTGAAATTCAGACATTGGGAGGAACTGAAATGGGAGGAACATATGTGAGAATGGAGTTGAACAATTTTGTTTGGTTTTTATAATTTTGTATTTTTTTTTTTGGCAAATATGAGGATAGAATTCATTTTATCAGAAAGAATTTGCGAATATTCATTAGTGCCCCATTTTTTCCGTATAAAATACTTTTCATAACCTTGCTGATCTTGTTAGTTAAATCAGATTGCATTATATCCAAAAGGGAGAAGAGGAAAGTATTATTATATAAGTCTAAGAGGATTGTTGACGTTCATAAATTTGTATATAGGAGTTAAATTTATCGATAATATGAATGGTTTTTCCCGACAAAACTGGTGCTTTCACTTGGCTATAATTTTTACACTCTGACATAGTAACACAGTATACAGTATTAAGAAAAAATATCGTTGTCATTCGTCCACACGCTTTCATTTCTGACTCATTTATATTTTTTTACAATGCTATATGCTATTCCTTCTTTAACATGTTTTATATCAGCCATATCAGTCATATGAGTTCAAATGTTCCAAGATTAAACATAAAATGATAATGTGTTGTATTGTATGTGCAAACATCGTACATTAAGGACAATTTTTCTGTTTCCTTTTTGTAAATATTTCAAAAGAGTTTTTGAATCATGTTTCATATTTATTTTAAGAAATTTAAATTTTTGAGGTTTTGGAATTTCGATACATAGGAAAATGATTCATACACAATATTTCTGGCCAAGAAGTTTTGTTGATTTTGTATTTTTGTGATACTTGTCCCTGTTTCTTTCTTTGTTCCAATGCTATTTGAACTTCTTTTATCTGTTTGTTCCTTACATCCGATTCAGTTTAGTAACAGTTCTCAACTGTGAAAGCTAATAATTGGTGGAATAATTTCCATTGTTCGCTTCATGCTTCTGTCCAGCCCTGTTTTGTCTTTCCCGCTCACGACTAATCGCTTTATGTATAGCATTAGGTCTGATTCTTTGAAAGTATGTGCATTGCTTGCTTGCAAACTGAAGTTAACGTGTAAAACTTGTTTTAAAGTTAAGGAACTGTTACGCGTAAAAAAATTTGCATACTAATTCCAAGATGCTTTATTTGACGTCTGGGGAGCTTAATTTGTAAAAAGGTGTGTTGAAGAAACGGCAAATGACTTAATCGTCTCAAACGAATAAAATATTACTCTTGCAGCAAAATGAATATGCAAGCCAATACAGATATTTCATGAAAAGATTTCTTTTATTTAATGAATAAAAAACATGAAAAAAAAGACGATGAAAAAAAGACGGGAAAACGGCTCTGTTTTCCATTCTTGTTCATGTGGGATTTTTCAAATTTTCTACATCAAAGAAAACATGATTAGAAACTGCCGAGACAACCTTTCGTTAAAATAATTTCAGTTATCAGTGATGAGGAAGGAGTGTGGGTCATAAGTGCACATGAATAAAACTATTTGCTGAGAATCACAGCATCATTCGTTAGTTTCACGGTTTCCAAAATAGAAGATCAAATGTTGCATTCTAATCACTTTTGCAGGAATCAAGGCGTGCAGATTCTGTGAGGATTCTGCTCATTTCAGATAGATCCACTCATTCACAAAATTAGTGAGTGATTTTCATGGTTCCACGTATGGCGGTTACTTTCTATTCATCACATAATACATGTGCAGGCTTTCAAAATTAGATGATGCAGGTGTAATTAGGATAGGACAGTAATATGGAAAGCGGTAAGGAAGAGAAGGATGAAAGCGCATATTCATTCAGTGATTAATCTCACAATTGTTTAGCAATATAGAGCATATTGTCCTTCGTATTAAATCAATATTACTCCTACAGATTAAGTAATGGATGGGTTCTGGAAAACCGTGAAATCCGAAAAATAAAATTTTTACAAACTCCAACAATAAAGAGGTTTCAATATTCGAAGTGTTAGAATTAGTAATTCTTTGAGAACTTGTTTTAGAAATCTGTCCAGAAGAGGAGTCTGATTTACAATGATTAGTGTAAGAAATACTAATCATTATGTACGATTTCAATGTTTCTTAATATTAATATTTCTTTTATCATTGACCATTTTCCACTGCTTAAGATAATTTATTTTGCTTGATGATTAAACCATCTCATAACCTATCTATTAAACTATATTCAATAATGAGTGATGAACTGCACTATCCTTGATTAAATTATCCGATAACTTTTTTTATTGTGCAGACAGTATTTGGAGAGAAATATGTATAACAGTTACTGAAGAGTCCATCAACTGAAAGGTCTTTCTTTTCCGAAAGTGTGAAAAGAAAGTATCAGACCTTCAAATAGCTCTTAACAATCACAGTTCAAGTGCAAGAAAGGATTCCTGTAATCGCTTTAAAAACCGTGACCAAACAGACCTTAAAGCAATCACATTAACTTTCATTTATTGAGAACGAAGTGACTATCATGAAGCAGTGTAATCGGAAAGGTCATATGGCGAACGATGCGAAAATGAAGAGTGACCTTCCCTCCTATGTAGCGATCGAGATATGTATAAAGAAGTGCAATGACCCTTCCATATGATCACTCGCTACGAGTATTTCATTGTCAATGGCAAGCAGTCTTACCCAATTTTTTATCAGCTATAGTGGCTTCATTATCGACATGTAGAAGGCGGTCAATTGTGTACGATCGGTAAAGTCGAGAATGATTTTAGGGTGATCGCAAAATCCCTGAACAAGGAACGTTATAGCCTAACAAATTATAGGCTTGTAGTCTAAGTATAACTCCAATTGCTATCTCATAGTTTTTTATTCATACTATCATTTGAAGACATCGTTACCTTCATCCTAAACATCTCCTCTTCTTCCCATCAAATTCCACATTATCATCTTCAACATCCCAATCCTCAATCTTTCCTTTTTTTTTGGGGCAAAGGTGCAACAATAAAAATGTGTCTTGTAGAGAAAACTTTTATACTGTATTGATGTTGAAGTCAGCAGGTGACACGGAAGTTTTTTTTTCGTTGTCTCGAGTAAGTGGGAATTGAGAGTGTAATGAGATGAGAATGCATATACAGTTTTTTTCTCCTTCCTTTTTCAACTGAATTCGTGATATAAGAAAGTCAGTATTACCATCACAGATCAGATGAAATATCAGTAGCAATTTTTAGCATCAAATAGAAAGCTTATACGATTCAGATGTCCACGGAATATCGGAAGCGGTCAATTATCAAAAATCCTGCTGATTCCGACAATGAAATACTTCCGAAAACTCGAAATATTCATGGCACCAGTTCTCCAGGACGATCAAGAACTGATGTAAGAAAATTTTATGTGCTATTTTTTGAGGAAATATTTGGGATTAACCTCTAAAGTGAAACACTTGCACATAATATGATTGCATGCAGTTGGTATTGGAATATTGTAATAGCGGAAATCAATTAACTAAAAGCAAAGTAATTTCAGTAAATTGAGAGAAAAATTGCATCTTGTGATTTAAAATATTTAGAAGAACGGTACCGTTGAGTCATCAAATCGATTGGCTTTCGTGAAACCCGCACCCTATAGTGACGACCCGGAAGTCATTGCGCAACGGGCATCTATTGATTATTCGCGGAAAATTACTCTCGAAATGGCGAGAAATGGCAAAGGTAAATGATAGCGGGTAAAGACCGAATTATAATTAATTTAAATCCATTCGTGGTTTCAAATTTGTTTAAGATAGAAGCGAGAAAAATAGCAAGGGAAGTATATAAAACTTCAAACTTCTGCTTCTCAAATTTGTTCAACCTCCTCTGTCATTATGGAATTTACTAAAATTTCAATTTTTTTTTTTTGAAAATTTTTCAGCTGGTCGTCCTGTGCGTGTTTATGCTGATGGTGTCTATGATCTCTTCCATTATGGTCACGCGAATCAACTACTGCAAGCAAAACGTGCTTTTCCAAACGTATATCTTATTGTTGGAGGTATAGTGACATTCTGCTTTTTCGAACTTTCTGATTTTTCTTTTTATATCTTCAGTTTTATCTAATATTTCACTTTAATTTTTTTATTGCTATTTAGTATGTGGCGATGCAGACACTCTCAAATACAAAGGTCGTACAGTGACGTCGGAGAATGAAAGATATGAAGGTGTGCGCCACTGCCGTTATGTTGATGAAGTCTATAGAAATGCTCCATGGTTTTGTACCGTGGAGTTTTTAAAAAACCTGAAAGTAAGCAGATTTTAGTTTAATTTTGTCCGAATCTTAATATTTTGGCTGTTACCTAAAGTTTTATTTTTCGAGAGATAAGTGCATTGAAAAAATTTCCTGTACTTTGAATACTTTCTGCAAATCCATCGAACTTTTCAAATATTTTTTATATTTATAATTTGATTGTTTTAAAAGCGTACTGAACTTTTTAAGATACTGAATAATCATTTTTCTATTTTGCTTACTATACCACTTCTGTAAATTGTGTAAATTAGTAATACTTTTGCTCATTTTTTGTAATCCTGCACTCAGTCGGTTTCAAGTCAGATTCCTTAATTAACCTTTTATATTTCAGGTTGACTTTATAGCGCATGACGCAATACCGTATGTTGCACCTGGAGACTCAGATCTTTACGAGAAATTTCGGCGAGAAGGGATGTTTCTCGAAACTCAACGAACGGAAGGCGTTTCGACTAGTGATGTTGTATGTCGAATAATCCGTGATTACGATAATTATGTGCGCCGTAATTTGCAGCGTGGTTATTCTGCTAAGGACCTCAATGTTGGATTTCTTGCTGTAAGTTTTGGTAATTGTAGCACACAGAATAAATGATTACTGTCTGACACTTATAGTTTCTGTGGCTTATTTCTAAGCTTCCCCAGTTACTTGGATAGGCATTTCAGGCAAGACGTTATCAGTTGCAGAATCAAGTTGATCAATTAAAGCAAAAAAGTTTGGAAGTTATAAAAACATGGCGTAATAAAAAGGATGATTTTATTCGTGGTTTCTTGGAAACATTGCAAAAAGATGGCGGATTCGGTTTTAATGTGTGTTTGCTTTCTTTTTAGCACAACAAGTCATCGTCTAAGATAAGAAAAACATTTAAAAAAGGTTGCTGAAAAGACGAAGTAAGAAATCTTACATTTTATATTTGTACATTTCTTATGTTCGTCTTTCGTAATGGATGGTTTTAATAATTCAGATTCTTTTTTTAATTGGAAAGAAAATTGTTTTGAGATCAGATAGGAGCACCCAAGAAGGAGCAGATCCACTCATTAGCATTGGTTATTGCAACTTGTTACAAATTTTTGTCTTTCCTGTCCCTAGATAAATTTGCAAAAAAATACTAATTTCAAATAATGAAATACTTAAATATGAGTAGTGCTTGTTGAAAATGATTATTTACATTGGAATTCACTATAGATAAAGCTCAAATTTTCAACCTGCATGTTTCTGATAATTTGTAGATTGTTGGCAATAGATTGAGAACGCTTGTTTCACGTAGCCCATCTCCGTTAGACTATGAAGAGCAAGCGGAAGAAGATACTGTGGATGCAGACTCTTGCTGTGAAACATCTTCAGCAACTAGTTTCGCAGGTGCCAAGAATGAAACATACTGATGCTATATACACTCCGAATATTTATTCGTTAACGAAGTGCCATTTTTTTGATTCCTATTTTTGTTTATTGCATGTAATTGCCTTATTAATTGTTCTACTTATGCTTGCCTCTTTCGCAATAGTACAAAACATTGTGCGTTACGTATTTTAAGTGAGAAAGTTGAAAAACTTTATTTAGAGAAATGTGAAAACAGTGATAGTCTGACTGAGTTTGGAGAAATGGAAGTTTTGATTCCTGAAAAAAGAGAAAAGAAAATTATTGAAAGTGTTTTATAATTCGCATTGGTCTAATTACTAAGCTTGAAATATAAAGTTACTTCGCTTGCAATAGGTAGTTTCTCACATTTCTCAAATATTTAAATTCCTGTACCTGTTGCTTAACTGAAGACTTGGAAGTATATCATTTGTCCATTGCTTTTTATTCCCGAAAAATCTTATTTATTTTTGTCGTTATGATTGAAGCTCTTTTTCTCACTTATGAATCATCGCTTTGTAATTCAGGGAACTAAAATACCATCACTTTCAAAAATTATAAACATGAGAAAAATAACAATGTAATAAACTTAAGTTTATTACTTTTGCAATTCTAAATTGGTCGCTGAACAAGATTGAAACCTATTAAACTGTACTACTAAACTAATTTTAATAGGCCAGTACAGTTTAATGGTGAAGAGAAGCAGATATAACATTTTCTGTTTTTCACATTCTTTTTTGATTTTTTCTCATATATTTTAAATTCACTTTGTTTCCAAGTAGTTTCATGGCACTAAATTTCTCGAACTTCTGGGATTTATTCTTTTATTAATTTTTATTACTACATTTATTTGTGGTGGAAGAGTCAAAATACTTTTGCAAATTTCAGATGTTTTATGATCCCAAAAAAATTCATTTGACAGGGAGAACACTTTATTTTATTGTAAAAGTATGCTGTAGCGAATTAGCTGCCCATTAAAAACTTAAAATTCCTATTCGGTAATTGGGAAGAGAAATCTGCTTTGGAGACTAGGCTTGGGCATCTTTTTGACTTTATTGTTACGTCATGATTTGTTTATTGGCTAACACTCCACATAATTCTTCATATCTTTTCTACTAGTCTTTCCTTGCGTGAAATGCGTGAAATTTCTTTGATGTCAGCAATATGATTTTTTTAATTTTAAAAACTTATCATGAGTAAGCCTTAAAAAATTTTGATTAAAATTAATTTCCGATATCTTTTCCATTGACGTTTTTTTAGTAAGCCAGAATAGGATGCATTTAATATAAGGGAGATGAAATAATTTTTAGATCTTATTCATTCTTTAAGAAATAATTATAATTGAATAGTATTTCAAAGCACTTCAAAACTCACTTCGGAGGAAATTAATTTACATATGGAATATTAACCTTGACATTTGATTTGTAGTATTGAATAATTTCTCTTATGCTTATTCTGTGCTCTGCATATGCAGTTTTACAACAAACTTGGTTACTTCTAACTTGTTATAAGAAAGTTAAATAATAAAAATTTTATACGACTAATGTTATTCGCTGATAGCATTCAGGCTGTAGCCATAAACATTTTTACTGTCGTTCTGAAGCTTTTTCCGAAATGTGCTCTTATTTTATCGAGTTAGTATTCAAATTCTCGTTGTTGAAATTGAGATTTTATTGTTGTGGTTCTTCGACACGATGTATGAAGCTTTCTTACATTGATTGTTGCGGAATTCAGAATTACATTCCTAATAAGGGGGAAAAATGGGTAATGGTGATCAAAGTACTTCAGTCTCCAAATTTAGGCGCCACTCGTTGAATTCTATTTGCTCTTACTTTCATTCATTTTCCATACTTAATATCAGATGGAGTCATGATCGCTTAAAGTTCAGTAGGATGTATTCTTCAAATGAAACAACTACTTTTTTACTCTTGTTTCGTCCGAAACGGATTCGAGTAATCTTTATTAGCATACACTTGTGGAATACGAAGATTTACTTTTTCTGGAGTAGGATTTATACGATTATTTTCGTTTAAAGATTATTCTATGGTGCGCTATTTGCATTTTTTTAAAGATTTTGGTGAAATTTTATTTCATTTCATTGCTTGTTGTTGTCATTGGTTCGGTGGTTGAGTGGTTGAATACTTCCAGTCGATTTTGATGAGTTGTATAACATTTCGAAATTTGAAAGTTTTGAAGGAAGTTGGTGGTTACTATAGCATGAAAAATGATTCCTCGGGTTTGGCGTCAGATGCGGCGTTGTCTAAAAAAGAGAAAAGTCGGCGGAAAATGCCGCTAAAAGTGAGCGGCTTTTTTTATTACTCAAGTGCTTTTTTTTATACTCAAAAAATATAATTTTTTTGAATAAATTCAAGAATTTCAATAAATTACTAAAAACAGAGGGCTGGTAATTTTTGCACAAATGAATGAGCCAACTTTTCTGAAATAATCGCTAGTTTTCATGGTTTTCTTTAAACTGAATCATTTCAATGTTGAGCATAGTTTCAGTTGACTTTTCAGATTGTTTTACGTCGATTGCCGGCAGCTATGACATGGGATCAATTAGAGACACAATTGAGTCCAATTCCGGAATTCGAGTTTTCCGAATTTATATCTGCTAAATCAAGGTCTGTTTCCGTGTGCATTAACTCATTGTTGTTTTTAATGTTTTCCTTTATTTTTTCACGGTTTTATATGGTTCATAGCAGTTCGGGTTTTTGATATATGATTTTGCATTTATTCAGTGAAACAATACTAGTTAAAAATAAAATTTGTCCATGAAAATTGTTTGCATTTATTTAATATGAAATTACATCAAGTTCTTGTCGAATTTGTAAGTGCCTATTAATTCGCATTTATCTTATTTTTTTCGGATTTTTTTCACTATTTCAATTTTTCATACTTTATATTTTTTTAGCGAAGGATTATTATTTTCGAGAGTATATTTCGTTTTCAAGGAAGATTATGATACTATTGCATTCAAAGAGCGTTTTCATGGATATGTTTTTGTTGATGATAAAGGTAATGTATTTATTCAAAATTGAAGTTTCAAATTGAATACACTGCAATAGTCATTTGAATTGTTTTCTTAAATAAAGGCTTTAATCAATCCAGCATAGATTTTGGTATTATTCACATCTTCATTTGAGGAGGAGAATCTGTGGGTATTGTTGAACTTGCACCTAATCCAAGAGTGCCACACGACAAATTGGAAACTGCTAAGGAGCGTGACTTCAAGTGTGGTACTATAGAAACAGGTTTTTTTAAATATACATTGTTTTAGCGATTTATTTTACTGCCTTTATACAGTACAAGTCAAATTTCTATTCTAAAAAATTTAGATCATGAATACAAAAAATTCTTAAGCGAAAGAGAAAATCCTCAAAAACCAGATCTAATATCAATGGAACAACTGATCAAAGAAATCGATGAGAAAGAGAAAATGATTGAAAGTGAGGATTTTCTACTTAGAAAAAAATCAAAAAACTTAATAAGGAAGTTAGTATCCGAAATTAATTTTATATATCAAGAAAGGACAAAAAAAGAAATTGAGGACTAAAGAAGTATAAAGAGAGCTGAGTAAATAAAGAGTGTTAAAAGAAATGAAAATAAATGCAGGCAATATGACTCTACCAAAACTTTTTCAAGCATGATGAAGTTTAAAAAAATTTTGGTGGAGAAATGTTGCTGTTGGCCCTGAATCTCTGCTCTGAAATGTGGTGATGTTAATTTTATGTTACATCCAGTTTTCTTGAAAAGACCTAAGAAATGAGGTAGCAACACTCCTGGACATAGCCTTTGCTTAAAATCTTTTTGAAAAAGTTTGAAAAAAAAAACTGATCCTACAGGGTACCCAAATGTGTGTTCTGATAATATTTCAAATAATTTATAACAATTGTTCAACAATTCATGTGCATGTATAATTGCAGACACAATGATTTGCTGTTTTTAATTGTACACAAAAACTTCAGTCATCTCTTGTGGTACTAAAAGTATAAAGAAATATTTAAACAGAATAAGATTTAACGAAAATTTCAAAGAATTAAATGTAATATGTAGGCAAAAAGCATTAAAACTGATAACGTTGCATAGTTTTCGTGTATAGAATGACAATAATCTATCTGAGAGAATTTAAAATGACAAGGTGAAGGCAGTTTTATGATTTCTAGAACCATTCATTACATGATTTCAGGGAATGCTGTGCAGGAAACACCGCTAACGCAGTATATGATCAGGAAAAGTATCAGACGCATCGAGGTTGTCTCTCTTTCTTACGATGGTTTTTTTTCTTATTCGGGAATATTAAATTGATGGCTGACACTTATCCTTTTCTGAACTATATGACAAAACTATATAATCTGTAGTTACACTACGAGAATGTGTTGTAGTGTTAGAGGATCTTCACTGTTTGTGATGGATTTGTCTAGTAGTTTTTGCATATCTGATTTTTCAATACCAAACATTTCTTACATCTCTTTTTTCATGTTTCAAAAATTCGAGTAATCTTTTGCATATGAATTTGACCGAAATTGATAACATAAATGACATATTTTGGAAAACCCACTATAGGAAAAACGACGTGCTCGTGAAGAGGAGAAGCGTGAACGTATGGAACGTCGGCATGAAAGTGAATTGAAAGATAAACAGGAGCGGCAAGAAATAAAAAAAGTGACTGAGTTCCGTAACTCGAAGTTTGAACGAAGCCATGAAAGTTCAGTGAAGGAAAAAGAAAGGTTGTTACAGTTGTGCAATTCAATACGTACTGATATGTGTTTGGTTTTTAACTTGAAATATTTATATCTGATATTGATGGTTTTAATGAACTGGCTATTGTTTGTAGATGTTCACAGATACTATTTTCATATCCCGTCATGAGTTTAAGATGAAAGTATTAAATAAAAAAAGTTTGTTATTGAATTATTATTGATTAGAAGATCATTAAAATGAAAATTATCGCAGGGCGAAAATTCGTACTTATCGATCCGGTGATTATAGTCGTAATAATACAGTAGAAAAAAGCAGTAAGTGCTGTGATACTAAGGAGCATGACAGATGTGTTCAGTCATCGAAGAAAGGACGTGATGCATCAGGTATTTAATTTATAATTTGGATATCACCATATGTATCATGAATGGTCGCATGATAGGAGAGAAATTAAAATTTGTGTTTGCAGCCAGCAGAGAGTTTTTTTCAAAGAAAACGAAGCAGAATAATGAAAATCAAGGTTTGAAAGCTGAAAAAATTGAAGAATTGGAAGGAAAGAAGATAAGAAAGGAGGATGAAACTGTCTTCAAGAAACTTACTTTATCGGAAGACACTACTGAGCCAACATCGTGCGTCTTCTTAAATTTGCAATTTTTTTTTTTACTTACCTCTGCACTTGCATAAGGATTGTAATGTACGTAGAGTAAAGCACAGAAGTGAGGTTGCTGGAATTCGCTAGCAAGATTGACAAGAGGACCGATACATTTCAAAATGTGGTACTATCTGATGCAGCTAAGCAGTCAGCGGGCATCATGAGAGGAAACTGTCTTGAAGCAATTATCGGTAATATGGGTCACTCGAAAAATAAAAACAGTGATCGCAAACGATGTATGAAATAAATGGTGTATCCAACTTCAAGTTACGAAGACACTCACATTGTTTATAATGGGCGACATATTTGAAAGTGTATTTTGCAGTATTTGTCTTATTATGGGAAGTAGAATAGAATGACTCATGCTTGCAAACATGCATGCTTGAAATGCTCTTGTGTAATATCGACTTTTGTTTATTTCCTGTACAAAATTTTATTGCTATTCAATGCACTGAATATTTCAGATCGGACAAATCGAATATCAAAGTCTCAAAAGTGGTAAGTCGAATGCTAACGCGTAAAATCACAGCAGTGGAGAAGAATGAAAAAAATCCAGATAATGGAAAGAAGGAAGAAAAGGCTGAAAATGGTTTTACGAAACCTCGTCGTAATAAGGTAAGCAATTAACAGAATGCCTAGTTGGGAGAATTCATAACCTTCCTTATCATATGATACGTGACTCTATCCATATCCATAATTATTTTGTTTATTATAAAATTAAAGGAGTGAATCTTTTCAAAACATTATAGAGGGCATTATCAACTTGTCTACTGTTTCACGGACTTTATTTCTGAAATTTTGAAATTAAATGTTATATAGTTGTTGTTTGTATTTTTTTAAGTATTAACACACCTAGTTCAGCTCTAATTCACATTATCCAGTTCAAAGAAATTCATTATACTTTAATATTTCTTTTATCAAATTACGATATCCTTTCATTTTTCGGCAGCACATAAGTAGGTTTGTAACATTAGATAGAAAAAAAACTGAAAGAAAACTAAATAATAAACTTTGAGAACGAAATTCAAAAAATAAAACTAATTACCCAACTTTTTATAGCAAAAGCCTCTGATAGAAAAGACTAGGATCATGCATAGCTTTCTCTCTCAACAATATTGAGAAAAAAATGTTGATCTTGGTTGCAAATTCCTACAGTCTTCGCAAATTCTTTGATTTAATATCGTTTAGAAATGCTGTAAACAAATTTTCCATAGAGATTATTATTCCTTTCATTCTTTGCTTTTTGTTTTAATTTAACTATAATGAAATGCTTTTCATCATTTTCCATTTTATTTTTACTGTGTTGTGAATATATTTTTGTAAAACAAATTTAACTTTAGGACCGTCCAGAGCGTGCAATATACCAACCTTCTGCTGTTCGACATCGAGCTGCGGCTTTAGTTACATCTGGTTTAAATACTACGGAAAAAGTTGCATCAGCTTCTAAAGAAAAATCTTGAGCGCGTGAGTTAAATTTCAAATCGGGAAAAGTTTCATTTAAATACTCGATGAGCTAAACACACAAAAAAATACTATTTTGAAATGTCTTTGTTGATCTATTATAAAATGATATAATGAAGTCCACAACTAAAAGAATTCTTTTCTCCCACCTCCGGAAGGTGGGATAAAAGAGCTACCTTCCGTAGTCGAATGGTCGATCATATAAAGGAACTATATAGGAGTAGTTTGTTTTACAGATTTGGGGTTTTTTGCTTTGAAGTTTTGATATCATTTAGCTTTACGGTGCTTATCAGGGTTTCTGTTTTACATATTTCACCGTCTGTGCAGTTTCTCGCACTTTTGGTATCAGTATATAATATTCCATTGTCATTCTTGATTATCTCTGTTTTCTACGTGTTGGAATAGTGCTGCATAAATAGTATTACAGGTATTTTATAATCTTTGATTCAAACAAGTATTGATGGTATTATTTCGATGCTTGTTATTATAAGTAATGCACATTGTTTTATTCTATTCATCTTTATTATCTAATATTTATGTTCACATTTTGAGGTGCTACATTGGCAAGGGATACTGGAAGAATTGCATATTCCAGCTAATTCCCTGTGTGTAGCAATGGTGGCAACAACAGCAGCGGTGATTCTTAACAGTTTGTCAACTAAAAAATATATGAATTATGGTTCTTCAACAACTATTTTGGCCAAAAGAGATGTGAATTTGGCCAATTCTCTGAAGATTGGTACCAGCGAAACTGAAAATTGTTCCTTCATCAGTTTCAATTACTTCGTTGATTGATGACGAGTTTCAGCAGAAATCCATTTTTGCTTCTTTTGTAAGCGATGCTGCTGTGATATATGAACTTTCATATATATAATGTTGGAGTACAAGCATGTTTTTCATTAGCAATAGTTTTTGACGAAATTATTGTTTTTGAAGTGTTCAAATCCAGCAGCATTTTGCGCCATTATGAATATCCACTTTGGCACGACATTTGCTTTGCAAATCTTAATTTTAGATTATTTCTTTATACACTAATAATTCTCTGATAAGAGACCAGAATTTTGTATTCCACAAACTTCCATTTAATTAGGGCATTGTCAGTTTTCTAAGTATACAGTTTGAGTGAAGAAAGAAGATCAGGTCAAGAACTGTTTTTAAGAATCTTATTTTGCTTTAATTTTCGCACTGAAATATGCAGATTTTTCCAGCAAAAATTCAAATTACTATTTCTTTTCTAGTGATATGTCGTGATTACAGAATTTTAAAGTTGTGGGAATATACGTCTTCTCTCATTAATAAGCATTAGATCTACATTTTTAAGAATAGAGGAAATTATGAGAAACAATTAAATCATTCAGTTGAACAGAATCATCATAGAATCACTTTTAGATCTTTTTTTTTGTGGGATTTTTTATATGTTAGGAAATTCTGGAAGCTGTTTTTAAGTGAGGTAAGACTTAGATAATAGACAAGGCTATTTTTTTCAAAGCGACTCTCATTTTTGATATTTTTAGTTTTTTCCGTGAGTTGAAATTGTTCATCAACATACATTATCCCACAATTGCCTTAAATCCTGCAAGGGAATAAAAGAAAAAATCATTGCTCTTGTCAAACGAACATCTAGCTCTATTGAATTTTTGATTGTATCTTGTTATCGATTGCTAGATTTATTCTAAATAAATTAGTATTAAAAATTATGTACTTCAGGAATTTTATCACCTTTTTTCATAAGACAGTAGTATCTGTTGTTCAGGTTTAAAGTGCCGAGAATAACGTTTGGATTTCAGTATTCGGAAAAGTGCTTTAAATTACATTGCATTACATCTCGATTTCATTCACACTTTTATCTCGATTTCGTTCACACTTCACGTCATTGTTAAAGACATCACTTTTAGACATTATGAAGTAAAATGGGTTAAGATTTTATTTACGCTTCTTGTCACTGTTGAACGCCATCTTTTTTAGACAAATACGAAGTAAAATGGGACTCTGTAACGAGAACACTCATCAATTTCTCTCTCTATTAATGTATGAATAATATTTTAGTTATTAAATGAATGTGCAAGGCATTGAAAATTTTTCACAGACTGATGGTGAGATTATTATTCGGTGTGGCTTTTTTGTGTTCAGTTTCCACATTTACTCCTTTCCTGATTTTTCATGTTCAGTTTACTCTCCCTTTTTTTAATTCCTTTGCTCTTTTTTTCATGGATGTAAACTTACGTTTGAGGTATTTCAGCAAAGAGGTATAGAATTTCTAAGGCATTTTTGGTAGGATGATGTGCAGTTCATTCCAGCAGGTTTAGCCGTTCTTGCATGCTGAAATAACTTTTCGTTTCTTCCCATTTGTTCATTCTGTGAGCTCAGAAATCTATCCACTATTGGTGGTCGAAATCATTTTGTGCAGTTTGACAATCTCTTAACATCGGGAATTCTCCAGCTACAGAATTGAGAGACTTGCATTATAGATGTGTCAAAATGAATAGTGGTCGCTTTATTTCTTAATTTCGATTCTGATTTTGTATGAGAGAAGACAACGATTGCCTAATTGAAATGAAGTTTATAGGTTTCTACTGGATCATCTTTTTTATCCAGTTTTCATTTGCTTGAACGAGAGTTTTTTAGGGACTTAAACAACTAATATTGGAGTTTTCTTCAAATAATATTTATTGGGTTATAAAAACATTTAAATAAAAATTGTCGAGAATAAACGCAAATTGTTAAACTAATCTATTCAGAACATCTTCACATAAACATTACAGTGCTCGTTTCATCACATATTAATGAGAATTAGAAAATGAGAAATCTCTTCCTGAGTGGTAAATAGAATTGAACTTAAAATGACATATATTGAACTTTTCTACTATTTTCAGTTTCAGTTCGTCTGAGTTGAAGACTTTTCTTGGCTGCTTTCAGCGAATTATTTTTTTTGCCTGAAAAAAACGAAGAAAAAATAATATACTTTCAAGAGATTTATTTTTCTCTGATACATCTTATTTTCTAATTCAAATATAATCTTAAAAGTGACTAACATTTATCTTTTTCTGCCTAACAGAGATAATGCGGATGCAGCAGACCTAATTTATCACTTTCTCCTTTCCCGTCATCTCTTGAAGTAGTTCCTTTTATCTTTTTTTTATTAATTTAAGACGAAACAAAAGAACTACCGTAATTTTTATATGATATGTATGTATAGTATTTTTTAATTAAAAATTTTAATTAAACAACAAATATTGAAATAAGGAAGATTTCATTTTAGCCAAAATATTCCAAGCTAAATTTTTTTAAAATAAATTTACGGGCCTTTTGCTAAATTAAGCCGTTTAAATTTTTATTAGAATTCGTAGCGTTAGCTTATTGACGATTAAATAAAGTTATCTGACATTCAAAATTTCCAGCAAAAATAAATTTTCAATTAGTGAGAAGTAAGAAATTTAACAACTTTTTGTTACAATGACATTGCAGAAATTATTAAAAGTGAAACAAAAATACTGTTATGTGTTTCTTGACTGAAATCAATAACTGAAAATATCTATAAGATGAATTTGAAATGATCTAATGGTTGATATCATCAGTCTTTAAGATAGCGGAATCATGAAACTAAAGAAAACATCAAATTACCGATAAAGTAAATTCATGTTGTACTAATCTAATAATTTGACAACTTGATAATGCAATTTGTGTATGCAAAGCATTAGCAAATACTACATAATTTCTTGAACTGGTATTTTGATCTTTCGATATTATAATTTTAGTAAAATGATGATGTGTCGTTAATTTCTGTTCATCCATATTCTATTCAAGTATGCTTTAAATCTTTTGAGAGTGCTGATTGGGCGCTATTTTGCAATAAACACATTAAAATTAAAATACGATATGAAAGCTTAGACAGCAATTTTTGGCAAACCGGAAAATTTTTCAGTTTATTAGCGCTGATGCATAAAACGCTATACAGAGTTTTTTTTATAAAGTTTACTATCAAATAGTTTGTTCATAACTTATTGTATCATAACTTATTGTAACAAAGAGTTGTTAGCTGTTAAATCTTTACACTTTTCACTAATTGAAAATTTCTTATTTTTACTGGAAATTTTGAATGTTAGATAACTTTATTTAATCGTCAGTCTTTTACTCGAATTTCATAAAAGAGTTATAGATTGATTTTCTTTAAAAATTTGTTTCCAATTAAAAAATAATTATTATTCGATAGTATTGTTTATGAATGTTGTTTACAAATATAAGCTTCGCAGAAGAATTTATTGTAAGATTATTTGCTATTAAGATGGTAATTATTGTATTAGTTATTCACTCTTTAACGCAAAAATTGAAAAGTCTGTTGTGTTCTGTTCGATCTCTTCCACGTTAATAACACGAGGATACATACGTGAAGTATTCGAAATAAATCAAGAAATATATCTTCCAAATAGTGAAATAGTTAATAAGTTCCTCTAAAAAAACTACTATAAAAAACTGCTATCCCATTCAAAGGGCACGGCAAATCATTATTTCTTAATATTGTTAAAAACTATTTAAAGACGTTATTTGTTGGAAACTGTGCAAAGTTTAAATATAGACTGATTTCTAGCTTTCAAAGAATAATGAAAACTTCAGAAAATGTAATTAAATTATGTGGCAAGGACTTATTATAATTGTTGCATATGCGAGGATAGAGAGTTAATATTAAAAAAAAAAAAAAAACTGGATTGTGTTAATTAATTTTCCATTTCAAATTGCTCTGCTCATTATTGCTACATTTTACCAACAAAAAAAATACATAAAATCTTTTGCTTTTAAGAAGCCAATCCAATTCGCTGTGCATTTTTTCTTTTAAAGACAATACTTACATCCTATCATCTATTAAAAGAAGTTCGATTGTTTCTAAAAGAAATCATATTTCAAAGGAAAAGATTGGAAAAGAAACGTTCAAAGGTTTATATTAATCTGTAAACTAATATCAACTTGCGAATACTTTAACAATTCTTTCAATTAAATAATTAGCACACTGAACGATGTACCATAGGTACCAGTGTTTCACATGCATTTACATGCACTCATTTCATCCACGCTATGTACGTGAAAAGTTTCGTGTAATTTTTGCAGGCAATTGTTACCTAAGTTTGTTTTGGTATGTTACTTACTTTATGGAAAAAATCGTCGCCAATTATGCTATCAGCGCTGTCCCTTTTATGCATCTGCAGTCATACAGCATTCTTAACACATATTGTTCATGGCAGGTCGGTTATTTTAATCTCATCAAACTTTTTATTCAAAAAAAAATATACGACCATATCTTTCTAATTTTTAAAATTATTGCCCTTGAAAATGGATGAAAATTAAAATTTTTACGAAAAATTAACGAGTTAAACTAAGGATAAATGATTTCTTTCAAATTATAATTTGGCCATTTATAAAGATACTAAGGATAACGTTCATTATTTTCTAGTTGGCCAAATCAGAATTTTCCTAAACTATTGTGTATGCTTTGTGATAAAACTCCCAAAACTTTTTACAGATTATTTGATATTGATCCATCTTCGCTATTTACAAAAGAGTTCAAACTGATTCAATCAACGAAACAACGAAGCAAGAATAACTTACGAAATTGCTTTTTCTCACCGGTCCAATGTCTCCTACCATTTGATGATAGTCGTTTAATGCAAAGTAATAGCAAGAGACGTACCGAATTTCCCGACTAATTTACGTCTTCTATTGCTCTACAAGCTTTTAGCTCTTCTTGGAAGCTCACATTTAAACATTTCATCTTCGCATCATTAAATGTCGTCAAAAGAAAACCTTTACTATTCTGATAAATTTTTCATTTTATTTTGAATAAAAAGATGTCAAAATTTCCACTCGAACTTTTACTAAAATTAGCAATGTTTTTAGCAAAGTGTATGTATATATACTAATCAACTTGTGTTAACATTTGCATCCATCATATCATTACGAACACTGATATCCAACAAATTTGTCAGTTGTTTTACTTCTGCTACAAGCAATAAGTGCGAATATCACATATTGCAATAATAAAAATGATTTTGAGTTATAATTTTGAAGGTAATATGCGCGAAATATTTTAAACTAGCTAAACTCTACAATGTCAAAAATTCCGCTTGATGAAAGATACGGTGACGGTTAGAATTAGAGGGGTGGTTGGTCCAGATTTAAAATATCAAAAACCGAAATCGAACAATGAATAAATGATTTTATAGTTCTGTTTATCACTTGTATTTGGTTGAAAATAAATGTTCCATTTTTACAATTCGAATTAATTTATATGAAAGCGTTTACAATAATATTGGACAATAATAATGACATCATTAGTACTAACAGCAGTAACAAAAGTGGGCACTAGTAATAGTATTAGTAGCACTAATAAGGATAATTAATAAGGACTATTTATAATCAAGAAGTTGGAATAAGAGGTTAAAATAAGGAAGTTAAGCATTATTTCCGAATCAATAATTTATTGGCTTCAAAATTTTGACAACTCAATTTGAGTTCATGACAATTTCTGAATTCTTCAATTCTTTATCATAAACTTTAAATATCTTAGTTCGCAAGTTTTGGAAGTTTAGAACTTCTTATAATTCGATTGCACAATACCAAAAACTGAATGGCATTCTGACCTGTGCCCATTTTAAATATGTTCACAAGTGTAAGAGACGTGGGAATTTTTTTGTTTGTAGAAGAACTATAAAACTCTATCTCTTAATGACATGATGCTACAATGGTATTCTTTGCAACTTGGAATGTGCTGTCTGCATTAACTTAATATTTTCCAAACATTCATTTTCCGCTATTTCCAGTTGTTGTCCATGATCAGCAATGATTTCTACATTGCCCTGAAAAGACGATCGAAGGGTTGACTGGTTGCTGTGAAAGTTACAATTTTTTTAAAATTATAAAACGAAAACTAACGGCGGTTTGTTTATTCTAATTCTTTACTTTTTTAACGTGAAATGCTTTTCGTTGAAAAGACCGAAAAGCATTTCACGTTAAAAAAGAATATAAAAGAATGAAATTGTTCGGGATCAACATCTCCTGAAAGATGCTCACAATACTCCAGCCACCGACGACTCGGATTATAATCCAACTCTTCTATTTCTGTACCGCGATATACTATCCGAGTGGCATTTGTCATGGCTATTTTTAAAAGTAAATTTTGAAAAAAAGCAACACATAAGATGAAGCCATTTGATATACAGCCGATTGAATATCAGCACTGCTATACTTCCATCTCATATTTTAAAGAAACTCGCATTAGCAACTGATTTAAGACTTACTTTCAGCTCCACCTGTTTCCCGAAATATATATCGCCCTCAACCTTTAGTCGTTTTAATTCTTGTAATCGTGGAATCTCACGAAAACGTTTTCGAAATTCGGAGATCTTACTGAAATGTCTCGACAGCTCGATGACTGGTGGTACTTTGTCCTTTCTGACAAATTGCAGCGAGAAGTTTTCCGTGATTTCGTATAAATCACTCATAATAGTAAGTAGGTCCTGAGTATTCTTAACAGGAAGAAAGCGAGAGCGGGGCACTTGAATACCTAAGAGTGTTTTTGGTTTATTATGTGAAATCAAAATCTCATTGTACTAATTTTTGGCACAGGTTATAGTATTTTAAATTACGCATATCAGTAATCAACTATGCAAACTGTTCCAGATGATACTATTACATATTCATATTATTGTACAGGATAATTTGAAGTCACTTTGTCTTGATCAAAAATTGAATACTAAAAGTTACATAAACTCGTTGAAGGAGAGAGCAAGAATGACGCATCATTTGTTAGTTGCTATATTTGTAGTGGACGTAAACGAGGTTCAAAAGAAAACCACTGATCTGGTATTAGATCCGACAACACTACTGCAGATAATTTCAGTTATATTAAAAAATAGCATATACATACTGAGCACATTGTCGAAATTTCGAATGGCACCACCCACTGATGTTTCCAGCTGATTGACAAACTCACCGTTACTGAGAACCTGCAAAAATACGACAATATTTAAGCTAATGACAATGGAAAACGATTTACATCAATCTTGATCATAGGATAACTCGGTCATTGCATACCTTTCTCATAGGTAGCTAAGAATACACCTTAAAGAGATATATATCATTAATACATTCCATATATATATAAATCACCACTAAGCCATCAATTAAGATGCTGGTTATTTGACCTTCCGGATCCCAACTCATCAATGAGTGATAGTTTTTTCAATTTTCTAAAACTTTCGTTAAATATATATCACAGTGTTTCAACTATGCCTAATCATTGATAATTCCACCGTAAGAATACCCTTGCAAATAAATAGTTCTACTTAGGTTTCCCGAATCTAAGCAACGTGAGCAGCCATCCGATACAATTAGAATTCCAAAATTATGCTTTTTTTCTTAAGAGAACTAAGAGAAAAAATCTTTGGAACCTTTTTGTTAACAATAATTTCCATCTTCATTTCAACGAGCTTCTTTTTTACAGCTCGCAGATTGACCCAAATATTGTTGGTATTAAAAATTCTGAAATTTTTTAAAATTTTGCTTTATGGAAATTTTGATAAAGAATGCAGTTGTAATATCAGACAGAAAAAAATAAAACGGAGTGAATAAAAGAAAAGATTATGAGGAAAAAAGTAAGAAACTAATTAAAATCAATGTAATAGTGAATTAAATAACGGAAAATCTTATACACATATGTATATGCATCTACTTGAAAATGTCCGTTGAGCAAAAATCATCGATATGATCATTGGGCACTTGTGGCATTTCTAAATGCATGATACATCCATTTATCTCAATCAAAGTACCTCCCTAGAAATGGTTTATAATCAGTAAATGAGTCGTTAAAAAACTAGAAAATCACTTGAGTTATTCACTATTTAATGTCTTCGTTTAAATGAGAGGAATTCTCAAAATTCAACAAAAAATAAACTTTTCTATCGACTTCCGTTTTTTCTGTGCATTCCATTACGAATTCCAAATCGCTTTCTACCATTAATTTAGCAATTCGCAAATCAATTGTTGCACCAGTATTATCAATATTTGAGATGAAGCATATATCGCGACCCTGAGCAAGCAACTCATCCAAAACACCCGTAAAATGCATCGATTTGAAGATATTCCCATGACCCGGTGGATACCATCTGAAAATATTAAAGTTATAGAAGAATTGGTTAATTGTACTTAACAAAATCTAACATCGAATGACTTCTAGTCTAAGTTTTTAATCTGTAATGGATTTCATAACCAACTGAATGAATATCAATATTTCAATGTAATTCAAAAAATCTAATCAATAAAAAAAATATGTCATTTTGACTCTTCATAATTGATTTCTTTATTTTCGTAAAAATAATTTCGTATTTGATCAAAAATAATTTCGTATTTGATTGTTATTTCGTTTACATATTGTCACCTGATTTATTAATTCACTACATCCAAAGTAAAATTTCAAGAATTCAAAAATTATTTAATGACTTCAAATTTTTTGTGGCGGACACAAATGATAATCTGAAAGATATATAATAAGGTTATTAAAATATGAAATCAAAATTAGAATTTTAATACTATCATCTCCAGTAATAGAAGCATTATAAGAACAAGAAGTATTAATAGAACAATCTCTTACCCTTCAATATTTTCACCTCCATTCTTTAAGGGAACAGGCACTGAGGTTTTCGCAAAGATCCTCGGACATTTACTCTGCAGGAATGTTCTTACATTTATCTTGCAATTAGCCAAATATTCGTTGATTGCTTTTTCAGTATTGAAACTATCCATTAAGACTAACGGCACCGAACTATTGTTCTGCTCATTAAAGTGCTAGAAAAAAATTGAAATGAATAAGTATTTCATTTAAAGCAGTAAGTTTTAAAAAAGTGGAAAAGTCAAAGTTAGTAATTAAAGATAAAAGCTGGGCTTTATTTGCAAACAAATTTGAAAAAAATCTAAATTTGGGAATCTTACTCAACATTACATCAAATTCATTGATTGCAATTGTAAAGTTTAAATATTCCTGTCATTTTGTCCTTACATTCAGTTGAATATCTTTTATAGAAGTTCTGTCAAGCGTTTCTGATTAGTGTTTCTGTGTAATTTTAAATGATACCTGTATATGACCAATGGCAAAATCAAGAAATGTGAGCCCTTTGCGCAATTCGATTAGTGACTTAGGACCATCACATCCCATTGTTGTTCCCAAGCCTCCATTTAGCTTCACAACTGATAGATGTTTCAAAATCTCGTCTCGTTCTTCCTCTCCAGAACAGTGCGGTAAGGATTCATAATCTTTTTGAAATTTCAAACTTAATGGCTTTATTCTGGTCCAGTCGATAGTATTGGATTCACTGAGATATTGCTCAAACAAAGACAAGAATATTTCTGCATCGAATTGAGTACGCTATAAATAAAAATGTGAAAAATTTCATAGAACAGTGGAGCAAAATTAAAGATCTGTTGAAAAATGAAACATAAGCAACATACTTCACTGTCAACAAAAGCCTTTTTGAACTGTTCGCTGATATTTTTGAATAATTTTTGAGTTTCATCACTCCAGCATTGATTCATTTGTCGAGAAAACATTAAATATCATACATCACAAAATATTAAATGATAACATTAGAAAAAAACTTTAAACGAAGTGAAATCTTGAACAAAAATCGAGAAGAGATAAAGGAAGAAGGAGAGCGTGTAAGGTCATCGAATACTAACATCGACATCAAAGACCGTAGCAGTTGATACGAATACGAATAATATATGGTAAATCGTCACATTGCCCTCCCAATTTTTTTTCGTCTTCTAGAAACTTCCTCTACCCTTCCCCCATGTCTAATTGATTAACCTTTTCCGAATGAAATGGCGCGTCGAAGGAAACTCCCTTATTAATAATCCTTCCCAAATAAATTTACACAAGCCAACGTAGGAAAAAACCGTAAACTTGTAAAGCAACATATGAATATATACAGTTTCAGCTACTTCGATGTAAACATCAAATGCCAGTATGTATGTGAACTTTTCAGGGATCAGTTATGTACTTTCTTCACGATTTGTCATAACTCGTATATGTTTGAAAGGACGTATATCTTCGACGAAGAGCAATGCAGTCAATATGACCAGCCAAAATTATATAAACAACTTCTCTTAAGAATGTTTTGTAATCAGAAGCGATTATTGTCAAATTTTCTTTTAACATCATCATCAACAAGAAACAGAGAATAATAAATCAGCAACAAAGAACATATTAATCTGCTGCAATCAATTAAATGGTTATTATAGCAGATAACTTTTAAAGAATTTTAAAGAAATCTTTAGTTCTTTCCTATGTTTGGGAAAAATTAAAAGTTTAGGTTATATTTTGAACTCAACCCAACAGCTGATCATTTCTTCAAAATTTACTGGAAATTATTTCCTAAAAATTTATATGAAATTTTTACCAGTAAAAAAGCAGAAGAATCAAAGCCATTCTTTTTTTTTTCTTGATTTACACTTAAACAACACTACACTCATAAAATAACCGAACGAACATAACATGCAAAAATCTTGTCACCAGGTATATCATAAAATAACTGTAGGCTGGTAAAGCAACAACTCAAAGAACAAATTTAAGAACCAGATGCTAGATTTTCTAAATACTTCTAAAGCAAATCCAAAATGTCTACAGCTATAGCTTTGAATGGAACTGATAATAGCAATAACCAAATGCTGCTATTCCATTTTATATGGATGAATCACCGAATGTAATCTTTCATTGCGAAACATGTTGAGAACCGTCTTTTTTGAATCAAGCAGCTCTTTAGCCCATTCGAGATCAATTACTGTGATATCACTAAATGAAAACGAGAATTGCTGCCAAAATAATGAATTTGCATTTTTTCAAAAAATTTTTGCAGAAATAAATGTAAAAGCAGAAAACGGTAAACGAAAACAACGATTTAAAGAATCAAATAATGTCCGGTTTTTTTAGTTGTTTTTTTCCTAGAGAAAAACAGATACAAGACAACTTTAAACATTATTTTAGTAATAATTTTCATTAGGCCAAAAAAACAGAAAACTTACCGAGCGTACAATTCATTTGTTCGAACAAGATCTGTAAAAATAAAGGCTGTTGGCCGCGACCGAGATAAACAAGAGGAAGGATGAATTTTTAGTGATATTTCAGGTGATATCAATAAACTGTAACGGTCGCGTGATCTCTCATAAGCACAAGCATTCATGAAAAGGCCTTGACAAAGCGTTTTTCTGAAAAATGATATTATTTAGCAAAAACCATGCCTGAACAAATTTATCAATTTTTTCTTCTTTTCTTTTTTTCGCAAACCCTTTTCATTTTTTTATTCTTAGAACTTAGAACTACTATTTCATTTATCTTTTTTTTCTCTCCTTTCTGAAAACAAATTTTTTCGGTCATCCAATTAATCAATATATTTATGTTTCCTTCTTATTATACTTATTTCAAACCCAAGTATCACCTAAGTTTCTCAGTATCAGTACCGCATGAACGAAAAATCAGTGAGTTTTTTGAGCAAATGTCGCGCAGCTGTCTTCGAATTTTGAAAACAGTATTAAGTAATCGCTGATGGACATGATTTGCTTCGCACCATTCCTTAACAAATATTGAATAAAAATACTTCTGGGAAAACAATAATAAGCAGTAAAACAACATCGACATGATTTGGTGTATATAAACAAATTCTCTTTCCATTAAGAACACAGAAAGTAAGTAAAATCTCAGTCTAAACCTCAGAAGAGTGCTGTATATTTAAAATATATTGGAAAAATTAATTGCTAAGTCCCATAAGCGCGATTAAAAAATAGATCCAAATGATAAAAAAATTGTAATATGTTGAAGCGAGGAACTGAAATGAGCACGTTAAATAAAAACGCTGCAAATATAATATAAATAAGGAAACTAAAAAAATAAGGAAACTAAAAAAATAAGGAAACTAAAAAAAAACCGCAGTATGTGAATTACCTCTAACTTCTTCTCTTTTCGAGCTAAACGATACCCTCGATAAACGTTAAGCAGGGTGCAATGATCACCTTCGGGTGCCTCAAATTTACGCTTCGATAAGTTTGTTTGTTCACGATTCATTGCTGAACTGACGAAAATGGAATCAGTGGACATAAATGCGACGATTGTTAGAACTTCTTCTAAACACTCATTCTGTGAAGCTGCTAGCAGAGCACTGCAATTCAGTAATGCCAATTTTTGAAATACAGAAAAAAATATAATACTGAATTCCGAAAAGGATTATTAAATTTTTTAAGTTCAAAATAATTAATTACCAGTGACTAAATGACTTACCGTGCGAAAGCTGGATCAACAGGAAATGATGACAACCTCGTGCCCACTTCAGTAAGTCGTAATCTACCTTTTTTGTCAGGTCGATTCACCGCATCCAGTAAACGGAGATGTTTTTCAGCAGCTTCTAACCTTTCTTTTTTTGGATTTGAAATCAAAGCCAAAGATTTTATTCGTCGTAAACCAATACGCAACAGCTCCAACAGTACCTCAAATGAACAAGATAGTGCAGCATAATTTAAAGAATAATTTCTAACTGAAGCTAGAGAACAAAATTCCTCTTAAAATAATGAATTAAACATTTTGGTTCTTAGCCTTTCCATCACTCCAGGTGTTGATAGAATCTTTCATAACTAGGAAAAATGACTTGATTCAATTATAAAAATAAATACTTGAAAGCGACAAAGTACTAAGAAACATTTTGCTAAAGTTTACCACTGCCAAATTAGACCGTAAAATTTCCGGAATTGTCATTTTGGGGAGTGAATGAAAATGCTTTTCTGAATACAGCCGATAGCATTTTCCAGGTGCTTCACGTCCAGCACGACCAGCTCGCTGGGTTGCTGAACACTGTGAAATATTTTCCACACGGAGGATGTCAATATGACGATCCGGAAGAAAGGTTCTGAACAGATATGACAAATCTTTATAAAACTTTTGGATTAAATGTTATCGTGAAAATAAGCAAAAGTGACAGTTCAGTTTAAATCAGAAAATTTGCAAAATCTCGGAGAAATAGAAGAAAATATCAACCTTTATTTCGGAATTCGAATCCAATTTCAATTAAACATATTACTGATAGTCTTACAATTAAATACATTACTGATAGAATGATAGCTTACTTTTTCTCTAATTGCAGCACAGATCTTCAAACACTAAGCAATAAAATAATATAATATTAATGAAAAAAAAAACTTTTCCTCGAAATTAGCACGTAAAAAAGACCAAAAGCAAAAATGGAAAGTTTCAATTAAGACTTACTTCACTTTCATTTTTCCACTATCAACAATAATCCGCACGCCGGGTATGGTAATAGATGTTTCCGCTACATTCGTCGCAAAAACAATTTTTCGCGTGTACTGAAATCAGAAAATGAATCTGAATATCACGATCTCGAAATGAACATTATAAGCAGAATCAATAAAAAGTTTACCACAGGACTATAAAATTCTGTAAATAGCGATGATAGCAAAATTCACAGTAATCATACAAGACTTTGTTTTTTGGTCACATCACAGTTGAAACGAATCACTTACCGGTATAGTAACTGGTTCAAAAACTCGCATCTGTGCTGATGGCGGAAGACCGGCATAGAGTGGAAGAGCTATCAAGCCACCAGTCAAAAGTTTAGAAGCTTCCTGCACTTTCTTGCAAGCTGTTTCAATTTCTTCCTGTCCAGTTAAGAATGCTAGCACATCAGAGCTGAAACAAGGATGTGTTAAATAAAATTCAAAACTTAAAATTAAGTACAAATAGATGTGAAGAAAAAGGAAAAAAAAATTATCATTAAAGCGCTAATCTCGGTTTGCTTTAATACAACAATATACTGGCATAACAGATTTTCAAGAAATTAGTTGCTTTCACCTCAGTGGTTCAGTACGATGAATTTGTAAAACCGTTGTCAGAACATTGAACACATAATCATCGTCTTTTTTATCCAATGAATTAGCATAAAAAATCTATAAAAAGATTAATTTTAAACACTTTATATATGTGAAGCAGTGAGGACTCTCCCATTATTCATGATAAAAACAAAATTTGATACAATATCCTACACTTCCATATGCAACACTGTTTAGTCAACTCTAATATATTTCAATGTTGGCAAGTTTCAGCTTTTTAGACTATTGAGTATATTTCACGGCCAGCAATTTTCTATTAAAATGTAACGAAAAAAACACTGCATGAAGAATTTTAAGTTGAAAAAAAAATCTCACAGTTTAGTAAGATAAATCAGTCTCCTACCTCAACTGGATAGGTTCTTCCTTGTACTATATATACTGGTGCATCATCAAAATATTCCGAAAAAATGTTAGTTTCCAATGTAGCAGACATGATGACAACCTAAAATTAGAGGCTTATATTTGCAGTCTTCAAAAATTTTGAAATGAATTACTTTTAATTACAAATGACAGAACATAAAAGAATGCTAAGAAATGTCAAGAACCAACAAAAATAAAGAAATTAATAACGCAACTTCAATGGATTGGATGTATCTAACCGCTGCTTATAACAGAGTTTCAATAAATATAACAAGACATCTGTATGAACAGAACGTTCATGAGCTTCATCGACAATCACAATAGAATAATGTGTGAGTAATGAATCATAAAATGTCTCGCGTAAAAAAATACCATCAGTGCCGTAAACAATCTTTGTTTCATTACTTGTGGTATTTTCGAACCTCACCTTATAAGCAACCTGAAATTTATCGTTTGCTAACTTTGTTGACTCCATTAACTTTTATTTGTTAATAGTAATTATTCATTATATTTGAACAAATCTTCTGCTTTTAGCAAATGTGCATTTGTTGTTAAATACAATGCTGATGCACCAATACAAGATTTATACACGAAAATATACTACTTTTAAAGTTATGATATAGCTAACCGACGACAATTCCGACTTGATATTTCTTTTAGAAAGTAACAGACGATTTAAAAAGTTTTTTTCCTTCAATAATAGCAAAAAGTGAACTACAGAGAAAAGTTAATAAATCGTTACAAAATAAACATTCATAAACAACATTCTCTATTTTTGGCAAGTATAAGTATTGTTTCTATAAAATAATTTTACCACTTCACCAAGGTTTGTATTCATTTCCAAAGCGACACGTCTCGCAAGAGTAATTGCAGCAACACGTCGTGGTTGTGTAACAGCTACGAGACCATTACCGATCAAACCTTCATCATAACAAATCTGAATAATGATCAAAATTAGCATCAGATGTAATATATCTCAAATGTTATGACACTAAAAGTTAGATAAATTTAAATTTAAACGGAGATTGGCAAAATAGGGAGTCTAAATACTGGACAGCTATTTCCGACAAAAGTCTTTTTTTCTTTTAATATGATGAGACAGCTACATGTCAGCTTTCAAGAGAAAAAATTTGCAACCTAGAACTATGAATTTTTTTTTTGCTCTGTATTAATCCTTTGTTTAGTATTAGGCACTAACCGTTCTGTAGTTAGTGCCTAATACTAGACAAAGGATTAATACAAATTCTTTTTTTGTTTTTTTTCTCGTTTTTTTTCTTTTTTCAAGACTAAATACAAGATCTCAAATAAATGTATCAAGTAGCTTAAGTTTTCCATTAAAAAAAAATATTAACACTAAACATAACTCTCTAAAAAAGTAATCTCATTTGAATTTCATGGACAGTGATGATAGTTTTTAAAATTACTCTCTCCATAATTTTTTAAACAAGTTTTAAGAAAACAGATACGATCAACAACCTGAGGAATCTGAGTGCTTTTACCACTTCCAGTTTCACCAACAATGACTGATATGCCATTTTCTCTTATTACATGTGCCAGCTGTAAATGAACTCTATCGACTGGTAATTCTTCACGTCGAAATTTCTTCTGAAGAATCGAATTAAAATTATGAATGCATCAATTTAAAACTATTTAGCAAGACCGAAATTATCTGATGACATACGATATTCACTGCAATATAGAAAGATACTGTATAAGGATTATAGGTAGGAGGAGCGTTCTCAATTCCTTATGTAAAATGCAGGACTTTCCAAAAATCTCCAAGCTATAAGTATTCTTAAAACTTTCCTATTGAAGTACCAAGATCCATACTTGCGTAATATATAAATTTTAAACAGATTTTCTTTTAGAAACCGATACTCATCGCAAATGTTGAGAAATAACTTACAATCCATCTGTATTACTCAAATTTCAAGATTAAGAACATTTATTACACAGTTCTTTTGTTATTTTTTCTTCATCAATTTATACTAGTGAATACAACTCAAGAAGTCATCGTACAACAATCTTCGCGTGATGTAAAGGCAAAATGAAGAAGCTGACCTTTGCTATAGGACACCGATCGATGTTATATGTACTTTGTTTATTTTGCTTATACTGATTTCTGCTCATATCCTTTATTACTTCACTTCAACAGTATTTGCCAACTCTGTAATTCCTAGCAAAAAAAAAAAATGATTGCACGAATGGGAAACCAATGATAAAATTAATGAGAAGTCGATAAATTCGAACCGATGCTGATCTGCTGTGAAGTTTTGAAATCATTAAATGGCGGGACAAAATTATTAATTTAGAATTGGTCATAAAATGAACAGCAACAATGAAAATGTAAATCAATAGCAGCAAATAATAAAATGGAAGCCTGTGAACTGTTCCGCAACGTACAACAAAGTAGGAGACATGAAGACGAAGTGAAAGCAGTCACTACAGATAAAACTGAAATTATCATCGAAGAGAGCTTCATGAGTACCAATGATCCCTGAAATGATTCTTTGCATTTTGAAAAATTTCCTGTACAAGCAATCATTTTAAATATTTTGCGAAAAATAGCAGCACTCTAGTCAGCTGATTTATCGCGTGATGACAGCCGATGACTCATAGGGTGGCAGATTGCGAAATGAGTGGGAAGGGCATGCGTTTGTCGTAGTCGTCATTTTCGAAGTTGCAAGAGAATCGGAGGTGGGTTGTGGTGAGAGATTGGTGGGGACATAGATTGGTCGATGGCTTATCAGAAGTATTCATTCCCGGTCTCCATTTCTACTTCTGCAAACGTATTGAGGGTAGGGGAAGTGATGGCTTGTTGAATTGCTCTCAGTCGAATTCCAAGCTAACAGTTTGTTAGAACTATCTTCCAATTACTTAAAATTCATTTAATTTATTTTAAACATCTGATTGTTTTTTTTCCAGTTTCCTTTAAAGACTAGATCAAAGTTTTTCATTTATTTAACTTTTTTTTTTTGATGTTATGCACTATGGAAGGTTACTGTATGCGGAAAAGCAGTAGTTGCTATTGTTGTGTTATTTAAATATTGAATTATTCCATTATTATTACCAGCTTCCATGCTGTCTGTTAGCTTAGTCTGAATTTTGGTTAACTGAAGGGAAGATAAGAACGAGTAGTGGTAGTGGTGTGTTGATGATTGGAAATATCTTATCCACATCGGGTTGGATTCTTAGGTACTGGCTGGACAATTCGGTTTTCTTGAGATATTTCGTTGCTAGTTTAGTTCAGCTAATGGTTTAAATTAGGAATTTTTTGTAGGTCGATATCATATTTATTTTTATTTTATTCTTCATGCCCTTGCTTTTTCTTTTTACTGCAAAAGAATAAAAATATATTGCTTCAGCAACTGTAAAGTAAATATTAATTATTTGTATTTTCATTAATGGAATTCAGTTTAATAGGAAGAAATAATCGAAAAAATGATAATAATAAAGTTATAAAAGAAGAAATGTACGTAGAATTCGGTTATAATAGGTGATCCATTATATTTGACTTGCCTCTGAAAAAGGGGGTGTGGCAGATTATGGTTCCTTTAAGTTAACGATGGACAATTAAATCTTAATTTCCAACAATTTATTCATCAGAGTAATTTCATAAATATGTTCCAGCCATCAAATATCATGCTTATTTTTCAGAGTTGAAGATTGTACTCTATGCTTGTTCGACATTTGATTGATACTAGAACGAAATTACCAAACATGTCAAGAAATATTGAGAGTGCGGAGAATATATTAAATAACGACGCCGATGATGGACGCTACGTTATGAATATGAAAACTTTCGAGGGACGAAATCGTTTAAAAACAGTTACGGATGGTATTATACAATCAGTTGATCGACAAGTAATTCATTTAGCTTTCTTCTGCATAAATTTGTTTCCTTTGTTCAGTTTCCCTTCTTTTATTATTCTATTCTCAAACATATTGAAGGGATTGTTTCTGCTGTTATGCTAGTTTTTTTTTTTTAAACTTGTAACAGTTTGTTAACATATTTTGTTCAGAATTATGCAAAAGCGCAGACTTGAAGAATTAAGTGGTCAGAAAAAAATTCTTTTTGTAGCAGGATTCGCTAATGCTTTGTCAACAGTTGCAAGAACAAGATGGGTTTGACTTTATGGATCAGAGCATGGATCTCACTCCTTATTTAAGAGATCTACGAGGGATAGATGACAGTAGTGACGATCTAGAGCCTATTATCGACAAACAGAGGGTACTTGAGTATGATGTACGAATGCAACATGGTGTTTGTGGATGTGCTACTCAATATGCGAATTTGACAAGTATTGGTAAGTAAAACTGCTATCGCATTTTGACTTTCTAGGTTATTTTATGGGGTGTATTCAATGTTATAAATGTTTTGTTACGAGAAAGAGAGTCGTAATGAATTTAATTTATTACTGATGATCAGGCACTAGAAGTTTGCAAAAATCCTGATACCCAGAATTTTTTAGAATTATAAGATGATTCTTTCCAAGGCAAATTTGAAATTTCCTTATGTTTCTTAAGATATTCTTTTCAGCAGAAGCTATAAAATCGGACACAAGTTTGGATGATACTTTGGTTGCAGTACCAGAAACGTCTAGTTTTGCAGCAACTTTTCAGCCGGTGAAGATAGAAGCAACAAGTGGCGAGGAAGTAAAGGGAGAACAAAAAGCTCAGCCAACAGTATCCGTGAAGAAGAATACATCAGATCAGATCGAAATTTCGTTCACACCAACTATCAAACCTAGAAAGTATTCCTTGAAGCCAGAAGTATGCTTTCACAACTTTATTTTTTGTTTTGGTAGCTTTAAAATTCAAATTTCTGGGAAGACAATTGGAAATATTGCAGCTAAGTCAATCAATAAGTTGATCTTTTAACATATTAGTTCCTTATATGGAAATTTAGTTGATTATAATACGCATCTCTATTTTTTATAAATTGGAGAATACTTAAATTTTTTCTGTATTACAGGCGGAAAAGAAAAACCCACTGTACCGACTGAAGCGTGAAAAAAACAATGATGCCGTAAGACGGTCGCGTACTAAGGCGAAGCAGCAACAAAAAATGAAAGATGAGCAAATCAAACAACTTCAATGTCAAGTTACTGAATTTGGTAACGCGGTAAATGTAAAAGATGAGCAAATTGTAAATCTTGAAAATGCAATTCATGAAGTGAAGGAAGAAAATCGACATTTGCGCGTCGAAAACATGCGACTGAAGAGTGAATTATATCAAGCAAGAAAAAGATGCTCTGCTCGTACCGCTTGACCATGCATTCATTGATTGGGAATGGATATAGGTCGTTTTTTCTATTCAGTAGGGATTATTCTGCTTTTTTGTGAATTACTACTTTTGCACCATATAGCTGCATCTTTTAGCCTAATGGTGCGTGAACTTTTTGTTTGTTTGTAAAGTATCTCTACGCAAAAACAATGTTGAAATGTCATCTTATCTCTTCAAAAGATTGTGTATCAAAAGATCATTTCACTCCCGGTCATTATCACTGATTCTTAAATTTCTATTGTAGCACTGTTTAATATTCTTCTGTCTTACTCAGTTAATTTGATGTTATCACCAGGTTATTCGTATGTTTTTATTCATTTCTAGAAATTTACAAACTGATGAAAATGTGCTTTTGCTCCAACCGGCATGGAGATTTATACGTGTTTTGTTCACAAAAATTTTTATATCTTCCGTTGCAAAGTTATAGCGTGGTGCATCTCTGTAATTGCGACAAGTCCTAATTTGTTTTTCCTAAATTTTCTTTTTTTTAATTTTCGGTTGTAGTCTTGCTTAGAGAAGTTCGGGTTGTTATTGCCGGTAAAATTGTTGAAATGTTGATATTAACATTCTTTTTGAAAACTCGGCAAGTTTTTAAAATTATAGCATATTTCATATGAAGACATGCATTTTTCTACCGGTCAAGATATACCAGTACTGTTTCAATTTTCGTATCTGGATAAAATTTATAAATCGATGGTCTTCCGGTTAGAATTTTAAAAAGCTGCCAGCCCATTCGAGATCTGAAACATGCTCATCCTTTTCGTTGGTTTTCCAGCAAATGTTTTTAATACAATCAACCCATGGCGCTTCCCAGGCGAGCTTTGTTGTTGGGCACCTTGTTCCTCTCGCAAGCTTAGAGTCTTGAGCCGATAACATAGCAAATAAGACTTTAAGATGTTCAGTTTGTGACATGATTCACTTAAACATTAACTAGTAGCATTGAGCAGCAGATTATGAAAACAGCATAGTTCGCTGGTCATCAGTACCGACTATGAATGACCGATGTAGTCTCTGTTTTCCTGTGATTCCCGCAACTCATTCAATTTATTTTACGTAGCCTCATTACGAACGTCAACCGCTCTTTCCTTGCGAAGCTCTGTCACGTTACACTTTACTATTCATATTTTATTGAAATCAATGTCAAAATTCTGAAGAAAGACATCAATAATTCAGAATTCAAATTTTGCAAAATAGGATAGGGAAGTTAGGAAGAAAGAAGCATACATGGTAACATGGAACGAAAGAGATTTCTGGAAACGCAATGAATGGCAGATTCAGGATGAGATTTACAGAAATTTAAATGGGGATTAATTACAAGGGAATAAATATAACCTATACTTGTCTGCAAAGGAAAACTCGACAGAGCATATCCAAGGATTTGAAAACTCGCTGGACTGAAATATCTGTACTATTTTTAAACACTCTTTATATGCATTTAATTTACCATAACACATAAGAACAGTAAATTATAATTTTAAAATATTTGAAGTGTGTAAAATCAGTACTATCTCAAAGCCCATCCATTTATTTGAGCATTTCAAAGAATTTCATCAAAACTTCAAAACCTCCAGACATTCAAAAAATCCCATTTTTACCTAAAATAAAGTAGTATTTACCTAAAATAAATTTGTTTACTACATATTTACATATTGCTTCAGTTCAATAATTGCTGATCTGTTTGCCTCTTGTCTTCGCGTTTTTCCCACTGATTTCCCTGATTACAGTGTTGACTGTCTAGCTAATAAATTTGCGGCTGCCGCTTCTACATCATTTCCACACTGTATAAGCATTGCACGAGCGGCTGCTTCTTCAAAACCAAGTGCCATCAACGAAGCCAATTTTGCGCTATCTACTTCCACTGCAAAAAACACTTCTTGAAGTGGTAAAATGACAAAAAAAGAAAACTGACGTGGTTTGTAATTCAGAATGGATAAAAGTTCCGAATATAAAACTAGCGATTTATGTAAACCTTAACTGGAAATATTATAATTGAAAAGTACCATTCGTACTGCTGGCATGTGCAGTCCCGAATCGTTCTAAATTTCTCTGTGGGACTTCTGAGTCCGGTAAAAAATGTGTAACTGCTGATTCACCGAATCTATAAGGCATTTTTGTAAGTCTACTGATTCACGAATCTGAAGCGTTTATATAAAAACTCTGTACTTCATCATTAGACTATTTTCAACTATCTTCAGTTACAACGACACTTCGGCATAATTAAAGAGATGCTAAGCGATAAATGGTATAGTTTTTAAATCGTTTCATGTATTTCATTTTTCTTCCTTTACTTGAATGTATGCGTGTCGAATAGTTTCATGTTAGTTCAACGACAATATCAGAAACGTTTAACAACGTAAGTGATTCTTTTACCGCAAACAATTGTTTTGTAAATCAATAACGCAACGATGTCGTTTAAGAATATCTAGGCCAAGCAAAACATCGATGTCACGATTCGCTAGAACATCGAAATTACATGGGAAAAACTGCTCTTCAATTTGAACTTGACCTGAAATTTCGCGAAAATGGTACATAACTTTCATTATTTAGTTGCAAGTACACACTAATATTGGAGTACAGCATAAGAAAAATTACCACTTACATGCATGTATTTTTCCTAATAATTGTTGAGCGCCACCGACTCCATGAACCGTTGCTTGAAATCTCTTATCCACTAAGCGCATTAAATTACAACGCTGAGCAATGGAATCGGACAATATGGACACCTGTGCTCCTGGAAATATGAACTTTTAACTTTCGAATTTAAAAGTTGGTTTCATGGTAGGCTTTTGCGATCAACGAAACTTCGTAACACAACGTCATAATGAATATAGGATTTCACAATAACACAAACCTTCGATTTGGTAAAGTCGGAATATTAAAAGGAGACTTTACCAAATCAAAGATTTATTACAAAACAATTTTCCATCCGTTTTATAAAACAATGCCTAATTTTACAGTTACTATTATACGGTATCTTCAACAAAAATGTTTGTTGTTTTAACAAACCTGAATCCACAAATGCTTTTACTTCAACCCCATTTATTTTCATTTTAATGTATAACATTGTCACAGGTATATAAGCTTCGGGCATATGTTCCATTGCGAATTGATGTGTAAAGTCGATGTTTTCACGTTGAATCTGTTCAGCAATCAATCGCTGTCCTTCTGCACTTGTTGGATCAAGCATTTCTCGTTCTCGAGTAAACGCATTTTCTCGTTCAGCAATATACTGTGTTTTGAACATATCTGCAACAGAACCGTTATTAAAACTACATATGAAGAAAATTATCCCATATATCACTAGAATACGTCAAAAATTTACCCTCCGGTTGATAAAGAGTGTTCACACAAATGGAAACTGAAAACGAACATGCACATAATTTACACCCATTATATATAAAGTGATCAGTACATTATATGGTCCGTATCAACTATCGAACTGATAGTTGGTGCTGATCAGCCTAAATAGAACAGTTTTTTCCAATAAAATCAGCAAGAAGAAAGTAAAATACTTTTCCACATACTCACTCCGCATTTCCCACCCAAATTTCATCCGTATATAAAAGAGCATTATGATGGAAAAGATATAGAAACTAATCTCTTTTCTTTGGATATTTCAAGCAGTATGCTAGATCTCTTACCAAAATTATTTTGTTCAACTGCAGCAATTAAATTCGGTATAACATTACGCAAACGATCGCGATGCTCCATGTTATTCCTGAGTCCATCAAAAAGCATACGAAGCTAAAAAAAAAGGAAACAACAAAATAGGTTATTAATAGCAATGGATAACAATATATTTATTTTCAAACCACTGTAGAAGTTTTGACCAATGATCAAAAATTCTTACGATTGTTGATAGAAATCGGGAAAAATGCAACCCAGATTAAAATGAATACATTTCTGCAGAAGGATTATTTTCTACAGTAATGAAGATACAGCTGGTACTGGCAAGAGCAAAATAGTTCACACTATTATAATTTCTTATAATAGTGATATTAGAAGAAATAGTGTGAACTGTTATTTTCATAACAAAATGATGCTATAAAATAAAGCACAAAGTGTAATGATAATAAAATCCAGCCTGAGCAACTTCATTATTTTTTAGATCATTCTTGTCGCGATGCTGCATGTTGTCCTGTGGCACCTTAATTGACTTCACTAAATCAGCAATCAAAGCATTTGAATATCGAGGTTGTTTGGAAGATGTTGTCGGTTTGTCAGTTACCAGCACAATTATATCATTTTCATGTATTTTCCAATCCTAAAAAAAGATATTATAAATGAATTTCTCAGAAAGCTTGGCATTTTCATATTTATACGGTAGTGTTCGTCTGACACAGGCTCAATATGGATGAACTGTAAATTCAGCAAGATTTGCTGACAGCTTACCAGCACAAGTAACGAGGCCATGCATTTGCAAAATGTAATATTTTTGTTAAAATATGGGATTCAAGAAATTTATAGTAAAATTAATTTCCGGTTTCTACAAATTCGTTTTCGGTTAATTCATCAAATAATCCCTAATGATTTGCTTGATGGTAGTTGTTCTTTAGTCTATCAAGATTTAATAAAAACCAACATTCAAAGTTTTCTTCAAATTGCTCTCATTTATATTTACTGTGTGTCCATTGTGAATAATGCTTAATTGCGACATCGACACATCATTCAGGACAGGAATTTCAAATCTGCAAAATGCCAAAAAATTTTCCATTTCCATATCGTTGCTTACTTCCAATGGAAACACCTGTGCTCCAGTCAAGTCGCATGTCACTGTTATCTTCATTGCAGATGGGTGCAGACAGACACACCTATCACTCTTTATATATTTGATTCGTAAAACTGAAATTTTAGAATGACTAAATTGTTAAATTTCTGAAAATTTTCATATTATGAAAAGATCTACTATATTTAGCAAGACATTATGTTCGCAGTATTTATTAAATTGGTACACACGCACTTATGGTACTGATTAGTAATGATGAACTCCTAGTAATTATATCTGCCAAAAATACAAATTCAGATAACAGAAGTTAACGTTTAAGTGATAAGGTCCCATCATAAGTGATATGTTTATGTTATTTCATAAATTACTGGATTCAGTACGAAACCTTATTTTTCAAAGTATTATATCTGACTGCCAACCTTCAAACTCTTTGTACTTCAGAAATATTACGATTCGTTGTTTTACTTGCACATTCAAATTAATTCCAAAAAGCGCTGGCTTCGCTAATACTGAATATTTTAAATGTAGGAATTTTTTAGAATTTTTGAAAAAAATTTGCATATGCAAAAAAACAAAATACTTTCAAATTCCTCGAGGATAATCAAGATAAATATCTTAATGGTTCAAGATCAATTTTTTGATTTTGGAGTGAAATCTTTGTCTGGAAGTTACTGCAGTTCATTAAAGCGATTATATAAATCATTTTTTTTTATAATAAGGTAATAATAACACTAGCACTAAACATCCGTGGGAATATTCTCAATAATTACATGAAATGGTCTCAATAAAATTATCATTAAGACAACTCTATTAATAGTAATTCTCAAATTTAATAGTACTACACAATGATCGTGTATAACTAATATAATCGGCATGTTGACAGAGCTAATTACAGAGAGAAAGTATTAATAGGTTGCTAAGGAATCATCATATAGGCTTAACTTTAAAAAATAAAAAATGAGTAAAGATCCACCATCATCAAACAGTTCTTTTCCTACTTTTGACCAATATTCTAAAAAACAATTCATTCATTCGATTTATTTTAAAAATCTCTATTTTTACTAATTATCCATTTTTGTGGATCCAGGGAATATTAGAGCACAAGAATGATATCACTAAAAGTTAAATCATTAGGAATACAACCGTAGAAGATGAACTGTTTGCGAATAACTCATTTATAACACAAAGGAACTATTTCTTAATGAGTTAGCAGGATTGTTCATTTTACTTAGTGTAAAGCGTCTGTTACAAAATTATAGGGTCAAACATTTACAAAACAATTTATCGATTGATGAATAAAAATTAAACTATTGCAAAAAAAACAAAAAAAAATTTACCAAATTTTACAAATAATGAAAGAAAAACAATAAATTGGGCGGGGCAGTACTATTCACCATCTGATGACGATAACATCCTGAACACAATTTATCGATTGATGAATGAAAATTAAACTATTGCAAAAAAAAAACAAGAATTATGAAAGTAACTGATCTCATATTGAATTACACAAAAAAGAATTTGAAAATAACTAATGTTCTATGAACATATATAGTAGCAAAGAAAAAAAAAAGATCCCAGTTGTTCTTCGTTCCCATAGAAATAATTTTAGATTCATTAAGAAACTAGGAGATATGACTTGTTTTAACCTTTTCGTATGGGACGAGCAACTCCCTTGAATATACACTAACCAATAGCCTGCTACTAACAGCTGAGGAATGATAAAAGGTTCTGCAATGTTTAATTCATTTCTCATGAAAAATAACAGGAAAGAAACGCACCCATTTTACAATTTCTAATCATTAGGCTTCTAAAGTACAGAATGACTTAATGGATTTGAACTGATTTATACAATAACTGCGCGATTCAAAGACGTATGAAAATGGAAAGATAGGAACGCCAGAAACAAAATCAATGAGGTCAAATGGTTAAATCAACAGCTTTAACATATCCTGAACAGATCGAAATAGAAATGCACAAAAAAACAACTGAGAGAAGAAAAGTGAATGTGACACAGAGATTGAGTTCCCGAGGTCAAATCCTTCCGGTCAATAGTCCACTCATCCACTTCAACATTACCAATGTAGGATCGCTATTTTCGTACCGCTCCATGCCACAATTTGCTGTTATCCGATGACCAAAAGAAATAATGCGGGTGAACTTTTCGGTGCTTGTTGTATTGTTTTTAAATAATATTTGAATGAGTTATTTTGCCACAGCTTATTGTTACTTTTGACCATCAGTAAATTGTGTTACTAATTAATAGAGAGTAGTATATATAGCAGTAATACATTCTACTACAATCAATCACATTTATATTATGCAAATTTCTTTTTATCTGCCAATTTAATTTCTCTTAACCTTACCAATTCCTGTTGCTGTAAGTTCACGAAAACAAATAACTATATACGTACACTTGAATTACGATGATAAGATTAATAAACAATTTGATTTCTTTCTTCTTTTTCAGTGTAAAACTACAGCAAAATTTGTTCTATTATGGAAAGTTTATATCACGAAACAAATAGTCTTTTGCAACAAATACACTTTGATTTGGGTAATTTAGAAGGCATGCAAAATGAAAGTGATGCTCAGAAAATTATCCAAAATATTTACCAACAATTAAAGTAAGTTTTGATTGTATATATGATCTTTTCATAAAGAGTGCAAAAGTGTTGTACTTCAGTGTAGCATTTTAGATCTTATGGTTTAGTTAGCTGGTCATTAATCTTATAAGAGCTGAGAAACATTACGGAACGAATCTTATTGAATAGCGAAGTTTAATTTGTTAGAAATCAAAACTTTCCTTCTGGATAAATAACCGATCTGACGTTAGCAGAAGAAATGAAAAAAGGATTCTTTATAATTATTCCCTACATTTTGAATCTTGATCAAACGTATTATGACTGGTCAACAACTTAAAAATTTTTTTTTTAATTTGGAATTTATAATCTTTGAATTTAGTTGTAACATGCAGGCAGATTGATGGGAACTGTGAACGTCTAGATCTATATGTTAGCAAAGAACCGCCGCATCGACGACGTACTGTGAAATATAAAGTGGATCAATTGAAATTCGATTGTCATTCGCTGCACTCAACGGTTGATAACATACATATGCGTATGACCAGTAAATGGAGGGCCATTGCTGAAAGAGAAGAGCTTCTGACTCAAAGGTGTTTCAAGTTTATAGGGATATTGAAAAAGTTTTTTTTTTGGAAGACTTATAGCTAATTTGATTTGTAGTTTTTTCGACGTAATTGTTATAATTTGGTCTGTTAATTTTGATTGCGCTATCCGATCTATCTTCACTCATTTATATTAAAAACATATCAGTAAAATACGTGACTTATCTACTTTCCCATAAAATTATAGATTTCGTCCAAATGATACAACACATGTTTTAATCGAAGATTGCGAATTATTTCTCCATGATCGTTTACAGTCCTCACATACTGCTGTTGACGAACTTATTAGCCATGGAAGTGCTATTTTGGAGCAAATTCGATCACAGGGAATAGGATTGGGAGGAATCAAACGTAAAGTTCTAAATATTGGACAAACGGTACATAATTCTTAATATGCAATTTTTCAAGAACTTGCGAAAGAGCACTTAAGTGACAAATTGATTTTTAAGTTGACTGCTGTAGTTGATTTCTATGTTTGCAGTAAGAAACAAAATTCCTGCAATACTACATATAATATATATGTATATTTGGTAAGATTTTATATTCAAAGAATTGTATTAATCAAAAAAAGCAAATACTTAACTAACATGAAATATAACTAGCCATAACTTTTTTTGTCATTAATATTAATGAGAGTTTAAATGCATTGTGTAATTATGACTTATTTTAGCTTGGCTTATCATCGACAACCCTACAAATGATTGAAAGGCGGCTAAGTGAAGATTGGATTATTTTTTGTGTGGGTTGTGTGGCTTTCACTGTTTTTATGTATGTTTTTTATCGATTTTGGAAAAGTTAAATGTTTTTAAACTGATATCTATTTTTTAGCAATCCTATTGCCGCTGTCTCAAGAAATTTTTTGAAGTTACCAAACAATTCAGCGGAAAAATCAGACCTTCAGCTTTTCTTTTTCATTATATTTTGTTCAATTTTGAATGCGGAGTAATTTTTTTAAAACATGTTGAGTATCGTAAATCCTTGGCTTTTATTCGAGTTTCAAATAAGCCTTATAAATTGACTATGCGGAAGGTTTTTTGATTACTTTTCTTTATAAAATAGAACTTATCCACTCTATTGCTCTTTCTTTCTTCTATCAGTTGAAGAATTGCTGTTTGAAGTTAGTAGGATTGCTGACTGGAAAGAAATTGTGTCTTTCGAAAGTTATTTATTAATGACTAATATTTAAAAGCTGTTTTTGTTATACTGTGATTTACATGATTATATATGTTATTCATTTATTAAATTTTGAAAATACTGGGTTGGCTTTATTTTTAGTAATCTACCAACACAAAAATAACGCCAACACTAATTCCTAATACTTGTTTCCTCTTCAACATTTTAAAATTAGGTTTGTCATAGAATCATGGTAAAATAAATAGTTTCTGTATTTTTATGAGTTTCATCGTTGAATGAAAATTTTTTCTTTGTCTCTTTTTTCTCCTGAACTTCAAACAGTGCGCAAAACTGGTCTTCTGATGAAATAGTAAATGCTTTCCAATAATGTCCCACGCTGCAAGTCACATTACTTTCCATTTGTTTAGTCTATTAAAGATTCAATGTTTTATTTGCAACAGTAATCATCATTCTGTTCTCTTCATAGTATTTATCACGAAATCCATTTATTCGTTTACATTGCGGAAAAAAAGGATTAGCACGCAGAATCATACGCGGTTGTTTCGTGTCGTTGGTTTCGTGCAGGTGTTGTTTCTTTTTTTTTCGTTCATGAATAGTCGCTCAATCTCTTCAATGCGTCTTCCGCGTGTTTCTGGTGCAAAACAATAGAAAATTATGAAACCAATAAATGAAATACCGGCATACAAAAAGAACGCACCTGAAATTATGAGTGTTAGGCTACTGTGTACTTTTCAGTATTCTGCTCTTTTTTGGATCTCACGTGCTGAGAATGACTTTCTTCTGCGTTAGGGCCATATTCTTATTTTTATCATTATTCTTTTTCTCCATTTTGTTAAATGACAGATAGATGATTCGGTCAGCAACTGTTGCTTAAAAAATTTTCGAAAAAATAAAATAAAAGTTGCCAGAACCATATTTAGTGATAGCTTGACTCAAGCTAAGATATGTTAGCGACATGAAAAGATTGAAAGTCCAATTTGTAAATGTTGATAAAGCAACGCATGTGCCTCTCGCCCAGATCGGATAAACCTCGGCGTTAAAAACCCATGGAATTGGTCCCATGCCTGAAATATTGATGATGAGTGATCGGGAGGAATTTCTTCGGTAATGTAAAAGTAAGTTGCTTTAAACCGTAAAAACTTACCAAATGAATAAACAGATATATAGAGTACCATAATTATTATTGGTAGTGCCGTAAATCGAGTTTTGCAGGAAGTATCAGTAAATAAGTAATCAGTTGCATTGCTCGTGCAATCCTAAAAATGACACGAAATTCGGAAACATGAAGGAAAATAAAGCAAGCATGAGATGGATTTGTGCTTTTATTTCGATTAATTTTTTATGATTATTTAGCTGGTCAATGTAACATATTTCTAGCGATTATGCATTTCAATTAATTCATTATTCGATTGAGCTATCGGCTTTCTAACAATTCTCTCAAGTTGGCCAAAAAATAACCTCTTTCGTCTTCCTAAAGACTTTTAAAAATGTCTTACATTGTATTTCAGCAAAAATTTTAGTAATTGAAGGTCTTCTATCACAAGATACAGCTGATATAGCTAATAAAGTCTATAAATTTTAATAATCGATTCTATAAACTTAAGCTTAATCTAAAAAAAGATGACCATTATTCTCTTTATTCCTAACAAGTTGAACGCTTAAATTTGTGAAGCCATTTAAACTTTATTAAGTTATAAATAGGAAGCTATGTGCTAAGTTGTTTGTGTCACGATAAATTCAATAAGTTCTTAAAAGTACAAAACTAGTGATGAAAATGCCTTGAAAAAATTAAGAACATATGAGAATGTTACAAGTTTTTTATGATTTGCGAAGTAATTTAAAAACTTGCAAAAGTGCAAGCAAATATTGCAGAAAGAAATATTATTAAATGCGTGCAATATATGTCTTCTATTTATTTCATTCATTTTAATGAATTCCAGGAAATTAGTAATGGAAGCATCGAAATTGCTTATAATACTTTGCAGTATCCATACAGTGAATTTTGACTATTTTCTGGATTAACAGGTAGACATTGCCCAAAACCTGTTGATAGTGAAGAGGAATCTTCTGTTAAACCACAATATCCACAATACTCCGAAGTTACACAATCATCACAATTTCTAAAACAGTTGAACAATTTCAAAAACATTGAACAAATTTCAAAATGTCAATATTTTATGTCATACATTTGTTGTAACGCGAATAGTAGAAGGAATTTCACGAAAGTAATAGCAATTAAAGTTCACATCGAAATTAAAATATCTTTTATCACTCGAAGGATATTTCCTTCGATGTGTAAAAAGTCATTTTCGACAAAACCGTTTTTTATAGTATAGCAAAAAAATTTGAAAAATCTTCAGATTCACCTGTAACCAGCGCATAGCTCCAGTAGTTTCTTATTTATGTTGGTAGAATTCACATCTATACCGATATAGGCATGAGCTTAAAAAAGAATTGATCAATGATCTTTTTTGAAAACGAAATATTTCAGTTAAAAAAATTTTAGTTTGTCTAAGCATAACACTTTTAGTTTTAAGGGGAAATCTTTGATAATTCAATATTAAGCTTTTTGATTTCATTTTATCGGAGAATTTTAATAAAAAATTTAATTTGCCTTGTCTTATATTAACAGCATTAACCAAATGGATTATAGTTGCTACACATTTCGCATATAATAATTATAGGTAATGCAATTAACGATATGCCTATAAAAGATAATTCTTGATAACTATATCTGCCTTCAGTTATCACTTACTGGGATCAATTTTTGTGGAATCATTATTGATAAGAATGAATGCACCACCCATCATACACAATGTGATGACAACACCGATCAGAGAGGATAACACGAGAGTGCGTCTTCCAAGCCGCTCGATCAAATTCAATGGCAATATTGTTCCAATTGCTTGTACAGCTGCAACATTTTTTAATCTTAATTTTCTAGATGAAAATTACAAGAATATATAGTTTGAAAATTTTAGTAATTATTTGGATTAGTTCAAGTGCTAAAAGGAATGTTTTAAAGAATAGTCAATCAGCGGACTATTTAAAACAAAAAATATTTACTTGAAATGCCACATGAAATCCAAATTGTTGTAATTTTATCATGTACACCGGCCGAACGAATGATTGTACTGGTGTAATATCTTAATTTGATAAATAATTTTTCTCTTTTATCTTTATAAATTCAAATTCATTTTATAGTTTAAAACTTTTTTGAAAAATATTTCGCAAATCAAAATGATGATGATGATATTCTCACAAGGATGAATGCATCATTCAATATTTACATTTTAGAGGTAGTATAGCAATGTAACTAAGAAAGCAATTATAACATTTTTTACGGCTATAATTTTTTAAAGGAAAAGAAAAAGTAACAAAATAGTATTGATTCCAGCAAGTTGTTGAAACATTTGCAAAGCGCAGCCGAGCATTAAGGCTTTCCGCACATGTGCTGTTCTTAGTACTCGACGTAGGATGAATTCATCCCCTATCAATAAAATATAAAATTTGAATTTTTTTCAGATTTATAAATAAACTATTCCACACAGTTTCTGATAGTCTAAAAAATAAGACCAAAGGGAAAATAAAAGATTCTGAAAGCAATCATGTATCTAAAGTAAGCAATCGGAAAATGTTACATATTTTATTCAAATATTCGCCTAAAATTCGAAAAAAAGACTAATTTTATATGAAAAATGCCAACCAGTAGTATGTTATAAAAGAGGAAATTGATAATATTTACCATAAAAATTTTAATTGATCAATTTATTCAGACCTTCCATTTACCGTTTTCTTGACGAAATCTTGCTTCACGTTGCATTTCACGTGTTACTTCATCCATCTCATAAGTAATCCATTCCTTATCATTACTGTATAATCGACGTAATACTTCTTGCGCTTCTTTTTCACGCTTGTGATTGATCAGATAACGCGGCGTTTCAGGCAGAAAGAAGAAGCCAATTAGCTTAAATTAATGATGAATTCATGTTCACTGTTTTAATGAACCAAAGTAATATATTTAAAAAATTATGTTCCAGTATTTCTTTAATCTTAAAATTACATCTAAAATTTTTAAAATTATTCTTTAAAATTTTACTTTTCCAATTCCAAAAAATGGAAACTACGAAGATCTATGCAATGTTTCAGGAACTCTTTCATCTCATATTACTTTAAATAAATCAAAAACTTTAAAAGAAAGTAAAGATCGCAGCACCTGTACTAAAGCTGGTACCGCAGCAAACATGAACATTAAGCGCCAACCAACATTTACGGGATCATAACGAGCAAACCATGCTGCGACAGCATTAGCAACTGTAAATCCGAATGCTATCATGAACTGATAAATTGTTACCAATTTCCCTCGTACTCTTGCAGGTGCTCCTTCACTTATATACACGGGTACAACCATGGATGCAAATCCTGTAATCTTGTACACGACTGTTAAAGGGATTCAAGACGTGATGTTGTAAATTGATGATAGCTTCCAACGTTTTCCAATATTAAAAATTTCAATTTGAACGTTGACATTTTGTTATGAAAAAGAAAATAATCTCCCATTTTTCATTGATTCTAATTTTTCAAATAGAGATATTTTATGTTTATTGTTGGAAAAAAAATTTTAATCTTTAATTACTAATAATACTTAGCTATTTTCATAGTATTTTATTTCTAAATTTCTTTTATAGATTGATATGGAACTTAAAGTATTCAATTCATACCAATAGCAATTCCCAGCAATATACGTCCAACGAGTAGTGTCCATCGATCAAATGCGGCACCGCATACAATAGAGCCAGCCATGAAGAAAACAGTAGCTGATATTATCACTTTTCGACGGCCGAATTTATCACTGCTTTTGCCTTTAACTTGATTATTTAAAGCAAATTTTACAAGTTTGCTATTTGAATGGTTTCCAGATTATTTAAATAAACTGAATCGAAATAATTTCTAATTCGATATGATACACTTCCTATAAAAGCTAATTTGATGTCTGATGGCAGTGCTAAATAAAAGTTTAAGTATGGCCAATTGAAAAAAAGATGAAATTGTCGAAAGTTTGCCAAAATGAAAAAAGGATATCAATGAATGGGTCGAATATTCTCATATTCCTCTTTTTTTGATCATCATTACAGTGAGATTTCCGAGATACTAACATTTGACCTTTGCATGATGTGTCTTGATAGCGTTATCAACTGATCATAATGATGCATTTTTCTTCCTATCTTCTCAGAGACTTCTCAGCGATAAAATATTTCAAATGGATAAAAATTGAAATGCAAAAGAAATTTCGATACCTGCAGTTAGAGCAGCAATACCTGCCATACCGGATGTTATGCTAATTATAACCTCTTTCCAAACAGTTGTTAAACCATCCATATATTTGTTATGTGGCAAGAATAGCATTATGCTAAAAATTATATTCTGAATTAGAAGAAAACATTAAATTTTTTTAAATGATAATTTCTATCCGATTTAACAAAAAGCTGCAATAACAACAAGCTGCATTTTAAAAACAAATATGAAATGAAAATTTAATTGCATAAAAATTTCTGGATCTATTAGCAGAACTAAAAATGACAAATGAAGTGAGAAAGAAAATTAAAATGAAGAAAATGCAAGCCGAGATATCAATTATCACATACCCGGAAACAATGCCTGTATCATAGCCAAACAGTAAACCGCCTATTGCGGCCATCAACGTTAAAAGGTAAACATATGCATTTGCTTTTGTTTTTTTCTTTAAGTTTTGTTGTTTTTCACGACTATCGTTGGCCTAAAAATATGGCTAAATTCCTTGTAGGCTAATTTTTATGCTACAATTTTTGTTTAATTCAAAAATTTATCACTTTTAATTCTTTTATCATTTGATTGTATTTGCACAATTTTATCCTTAGGATATTCTGGATCTGATAGCCGTATGTTCAAATCAGACAAACAAGATGGTGGTTTAGAAATATTTTATTAAACGTTAACTTTTTTGAAATGCTGTATAATCATTGTTTTTTTATTTTTTAATTACCATTAAGTAAAGAGTTTATAAAGATTTGATAATTAATAGAGTTGTTCACATGCTTTGGTCAAAATAATAATTATTTTTTTCTTGTTCAGACTATTTGAAGTATAAGTTTTAGGCTTACAAGGAGTCGCCCTGAATAGGATGCATTCAGTGTAACCCAGAGATTTTATTTTTTGTTCTTTTAACAATTGAGTGAATAATATATTTAAATCAAATACGAAAAGTAAAAAAATATTTTAATTTTATTTTAAACAATTTCCATCACAATTTTATACAAAAAATAAATTTAGAATTTCATAAGAAGCTCAAAGATAGACCAAAAGATGTTCACTTTATTAAAGTATGTCGCTCAATTTAAAAAAAAAAATGAAATTCTGAAAAATGCCAGAATACAAAAAATTGAATGTCAAAATTAAAATTTTTAAAATGCTCATTACATTTAAATTATTTGTGCGACAATAAGAAAGCTTACAATTCCAATATAAACCATCGGGAATTCTTGTTCACTTGCAAACTTCCTGAAGACAAAAATTTAATATTGTTCGACTAGAAATTGAAATAAGTTTAATGCGGCATGTAACAGGAAGCATTATCGAGAAAATGTTCAAGCAAAATGAAGAAAAACTTGAATTACAATTTCGAAACAGATTAACCGTATGAAAATACATTCACACAACCATTGAACGACGAAAAGAAAAGCGCAACTTTTACAACACTCTGATAGAGTACAATACCAATAAGGACAACTTTTGTGTAAAAGAAATGACACCGACATTTTGACAGTATAAGAAAATATACACATACAGAACGATCCATCTTTCAGACTTATCAAATTAGTTGTTCGGTGCGGACTGTCAGATCAGTTGAAATATTGGCAGTGGGTAATTATTCCTCTGCAGAACATCATAATATTTTTGTTACAGCACAGACAAAAAGTTAGAATAAAAAGAAAGAGAATGTTGCACGATTAGCATGAAGCAGGAAGAGCAAATGTCACAGGTGACAACCATTTAAGAGATTTAATAAGTCTATAATTTATATTCATAACATCAAAGATCCAATATATTCTCTAAATTTTATTAAAAAAGTATACTTGAAAAAAAATATTTTAATTAATCATCCTGGAATCGTTGTGTAAGATGTTAGCATCAGTGTGTAAAATATTTTTCAAAAAAAAAAAATTTGAAATTTGTGACATGGAAAAATCTCGAGAGTTATTAAAAGGAGAGAATTGAAATTTCTGTGAGTTCAGTTAAATATATCATATGAAAAGTGAGAAGTAAAAATGAGAATTTAAAAACATTAATTGCCATATACCTAAGCCAAACCTAAATGTAAAGATTAGTGCTGTATGTGCAAGTAAAAATTTTGTACGACAGAAATCTATCAAAACATATAATTTTATTCATTTCATTATTTTCGCAGCCGTCCTAAAATTTAACACGGCGAAGATAAAATAAATCAAATGTTAGGGAATCATTTTGTGCACTCATAACAAATCGTTTCAAATTCGAAAATACACAACGAAAGTGAACAAATTTAACAAATTGTAAACAGTTGATTACCGCCATTGATTTTTAGCAAATTAACCAATAACTGTTATTCAAATCAGCCAACGGGATTTACTGTATCCGTAAAATGACCGATGAGTTCATGGAGTTTATAATTTCTACGCAAAATTGAAGAGGTCATGTTGAGAATGCATTAATTGATGCTATCGATTACGGCAAATGTCGGAGAAAACCTTTTCACTTTATTTCAATAAAATGTCATTTAACTTCGATTTAAGTAAAAATACTTGATATAGGTGGAAAAGGAAAGAGTTGTGAAGAGTGACTGAAAGGCACGTGACTTCTCCTCGTTGTTTTGTCAAAGAGTGGAATGGTTTGGTTTCTTGAGTGGATTGCAGCAATGATTCACTGAGACTTTTCTATAAAATCAGTCAGTAATTCAACAAAATTATGACGACAAAATGATAACAACAATAATAATATTTTCTATTCCCCGCTGATGATCACTGTCAGAGGTTCTATTCCCCGCTAATGATACCTACCGGAGGTTCACTCCATTCTCTACCGGATGTTACATACCGATGCTATACACGCAACATTTCCTCGCCTTCGTATTTTCAAATGTATCAAATGTTTGACCGAATTTGTTCTTTAAACTTCATTCATCATCGGCAAACACATCACAATAGAAGTAAATACTGAATCTCGACTATCTATAAAGTTCGAAGATTGATTCATCTGATGATTGATACTATGCTTGCAATCAGAGATCAAAAATCCCGTCCTAATCATATTTTCCTACTCTTGAATTTGGGTAGTTAGAAAAATAGGATAAAATGAAATGTTAGTGAATGACTAAATAATCTTTTTAAGATGTTTTTTGAATGGAAAAATGAGAGTAAAAGGAAGTAATATTCCATTTATCATTTTTTTATTGATATACAAATAGTATCGTCATGGCCTTTCTTCCACTTTTCATTTGCGTTGATTATGACAATGAAAACTCTCAACAAATATATTTAATATATCTCTTGAAAAATGTGTTTATCTTATCATGCCGAATGCATGCCTTTTTATCAGTGGTTTGTTTTGCTTTGCAATGAGGGAGCAAAGTTCCGATAATATTTGATAAAACTTATACAGTAGCTTTATCCATTCAATTGATAGTTTACTTTTTTCATCGGTACAAAATGATATATGAATAATGCATCGCATTTCATGTTCATAATGTACAGAAAATAAAAACTACAAAATATTATTTCATTACCAAAATAGAATTGTTTAATTTTGGTGGATAGGATGGAATTGAAAAAGAGAAAGAACAAATATAAATTTCGAGCAATTTGAGTAGACTAAAAACAAAACAATTGAACTCCTTTTCTAATTTTCTATTGTTTACTTCTAGCAGTGTATAATTTTTTATTTTGAAATCATTACTTCAACTACCTTTTCTTGCGTCTACCGTTTTTCGAGCCTCAAAGATATTTGAGAAAGTGAGAGAAAGTAGTCTTAAATTATAATGGGTTATTCTGAATATGCATTAAAAAGCATTGTTTAAAGAAGTGATAATTTATCGATAGATGAAGTTATACTTGATAACAGGCAAACAGAGCATAAATGTTTTAAAATGATAGTCCGATTCTAGGAGTATCAAAGCATTTTTTGCGCATCAGTTCTGAAATTGATTTTAAATCTTTGAAAGAATTTTGTTACTACTAAAATACATTACTTTATTTTTGAGTCATTTGATACTTTCGCTGAATAATAATTATTTCCTTTTAGTTGCTTTTCTATATCAGTATCATTTATCACTTAATTTAGAAATTTTAAAATTTGCTTCCCAGTTTTGATTAATTTTGAAAAAACTAGTAAAAAAGATTTCTTTGAAAGGGAAACATACAATGATTCTGTTTGGTACTTTGTTTTACAATCAGTTTCTTTCATTTAAATTTAAAAAACTATCCAATTTGAACTTTTTAAATTGAAATTTTCATCTTAACTTGAAAATAATCATTTGGGGACAATATTTACACGATCGGATGTACTGCAAGAAACTTTCTCCATGGACATTTGTTTTCTTTATGACAGCAATAAGCAAATGTTACAACTACAATTATTGCAATTATCGCTAACATTACAAAAGTATTCAATATCGATGAAAATTTTAATCTGGATCTAATTAACAATTTATTTACAATTAAAAAAAATTTGAATATAACAAATATTGTTTTCTGAATTTGCCAGAATTAATTTCATTGACAACTTTCCACAATTGGAGTTACATCCAACAGAAAGAAACTCCACTCGATTCCTTTGGTTAAAAGATATCCGAGGACAAATTACGGAGAATAACATACAGTACTGTCACTGTCGGTTTCAAAAATCTCATTTGGAGTAAAATCATCTCCTTTTTACTATCGGCTACTCTGAACTCATCATTTGGGAAATCACGGAAGTAAACTCATTCTTGAAATCAGAAAAGATCTTTATGTCGACAATGTTATTCTATCAACTATGGAAAATTATAAAATATAAAAGCCATTTTTAATGATTCTTTAGTGAATACCAGAAAATTTTTTCTAAATGATAAGCTAAATGAAAGATTGCTGAATAAAACTGGGCAGAATCAAATTAAAAAAATTCTTGGTATTCACTGCAACCCTAATAATTTATCGAATAAATTTAAAGTCTTGAATGATCAAGAGCCGAAAAAAAGACAATTCATGGCTACACAATATGATTCTTTTAGATTTCTATTTCCAAGTATAATATCGATTAAATTATTTCTTCAAAGTCTTTGAAAGAAAAATGTAAGTTAGGGTCAAACATTTGGCGACGAAGACAGAGAAGCACGGGAAAAGAGTATGGCCAATATAAATGAAAGAACTGCGACACACTGTCACAACCAATGAAAATTTGTTTTCATTGACGATTCTTCCTCAATCGCCACATAATTTAGGGAAGGAAAGTTTTCTTGATTTTTGTTAAATTTAGAATTGCTACAACTAAAGGTATGGCTATTGCAAGATTAGAATTACTTGCCATACTCATAGAAGTATGCTCTGGCCAATTTGTTATCAAGCAGTTGGAACTGGAAAATATAAAGGTCACACTATATGGTCAGATTCCAAGTGTGCATTTTACCGGATACAGAATCATTCTTGTCGTGAATGATTTGTTTAATTGGATTTGATTGGTTTGGGAGAATCCTTTTTGTGATCTCGTTGAAATTGGTATTGACGATTTTCTTCTTTGAAGAGATTTGTCTTTATTGATGTTATAAGATCAATTACGTTTATTTTAATATGGAGCTGATGGTTCGGTTAGATCAGTTTCCGCTGAGTTTGGATTAGCGTGAATGGCCGCGTTAGTTTGATCATAGCTGTTCGTTCCAAGAAAAGGATGATTGCTTGTAGTAAAAAGATCATGTTGATTGATTAAATGCAGATACTGAGAAAACACAAATGGTCTGACTGTTTTGATGAAGTGGAGCAG